ATATATATATATATATATATATATGAATAAGTAGGAGACAGAAAGAGAGTTTATATATATACAGCACGACGGTGAACATTGTACACATTAAAGTATTTGGGAAAGAGGAAGTTGCACACATGTGCCTGAGACAGGAGCATACGAGTCACACGTGCACCACTAAAAATGTGCGCAATACTAACAGCATATATATAATGTAACAGATGTAACGGTAGTAACGTGGTTTCATCTAAGAAGCTGTTTAAATCACGCGTGACAAAAGTCACGACAAAATATAATATTAGCTATTCGATTTGTAATTTTATTTAAAGTGAAATTTAATAGAGAAACGCGATGAATCTAATACCAAGCAAAGAATCTTGTTTAATTTGCTGAAAGAAATTTTTTCGACCAAAAAAAGTCTGTAAGGTCGCTACATATTGCAAAGGTGTTTGCATCGTCGTTGGCGTCATCAATCGTATCCTGCACCGTTGCATTCAGTCAATCGCTGTCCAAGTTCCAACGCACAGACATGGAATACCAATTGCAACAATCGCAAAGAAACAATAAAAGGGGAATGACGAAGACGCGAGAGCCGCTGCACGTCGATCGAATATTAAATACATAGTCGTGAGAGCATACCGAACTGTTGGTTCTCGCATCATTTCTTCTTACAATCAATTAACATTAATTAATCTGTGCAAACTATGTGTCTTTGATCGACACACGACTAACACTTGATTATCTTATATTATATATATTGACTCTTGACAGATCATGCATAATTTAATTTCAACAAGAAATTTGAAATTTTATTAGTCTACCAAATGAATCAAGCAATTTATTCGTTTTTGCTTTTTATTAATCCAAAAATCATGATAATGAGCAAATTAAATAAAAAAAGAAGAGAATTCTCTTTTTCGACACTCAAATTCACTATTTAAAAAAAAATCATATTAAATAATACACACATAAATTCACTAAAATTGTAAAAATATATAAATGTATTCACATTTTTCTACTTAAATGTCGCATTTATCTATTTTCTTTTTATAACGTGAGACCTCTGAACAGATGCAGCGTATTTTTGTAATAATATAAACTACGTTTTTAATAATATAAATTGACTACGATATTTGAGATGTCTCTCTCTCTCTCTCTCTCTCTCTCTCTCTCTCTCTCTCTCTCCCTCCCCCTCTCCCCGCTCTCCCCTAATTGATCGGATTCTTCACATTAGTATTACTTACGAAATTGTCTAATTAATCTGTGCGCGGATAACAAGGTCTAATCTTTCATGGAAAAAAATCACGCTCGTGAAAGCATGATCGCGTCGAAGTAGAAGATCCGAATCTTTTTTTCTCTATCAATAAGAGACCAAGTTAGTTATAGCGACATGTTAGTTGTAGCAAAAAAAATACTGTTTGTAAGATGCTTAACACTACAAAATACATAAACATTACCTGAACATAATTCAATATAGGTGAACACATTCATCTTTCGTCCCAATGCTTGTTTGACTTCCAAGTCTTAAAATCATTCTCAGCGGGTGGCTCTCTTTTTTTATCAGACTCGTGTCCTTCATCGTGTACACCAGCGAGTTTCTATTCGAAACACGCACACACTCCCCCCTCTTTCCTTCTCTCTCTCTCTCTCTCTCACGCACACACACACACATTTATAGAGATGTTTCCCGCTATCTGTTCATCTTTCACCTTTGTCATATTGCCGAATTATTTGTTACATCTGTTTTTTTTTTATAGCAAAAACGAGCCATGCTTTGGCCAGAGATCCAGAATTCGTTGTAAATTCGTTGATGCAATGCGAAATGGCTATCAAGGAGATCGAACAGCAGGACCGTGCGACAATCGTGGACGATAGCCCTTCCAGATTATATTCTACATGGCTGTCTCAAGAGTAATTGTCCTTTCTTTCACATACCGTGTCATTATAAATGATTTGACTCAAACGCGGAAATTATAATGATTTCTTTTTTTGTGGCAGATGCGAAGTGCGAGCCGGTCCGGAGTATATAATTAGAAAATATACATTTTTTAAGAACGGTACATTTCTTCTGCTGCGTTATCATTATGCTGAAGAGTCGTGCAGCATAGCGACGCATACCGTTACAATTCGCGGTTCCATCAAGTTGCTGGGATCATCCGCCATTGTTTCAGGCGCTACCGAAACGAGACTTCACGTGGATGCCATTAATATTGTACCTTTGAATCGACAGGTACTTTCAAATCGATTAGATCAATTCGCGAGCGTAAAATAAAACTTTTATGAATAAAAGATTGATTGTCAAAAAAAGATTAATCGTGATGAACGAATATATATATATATATATATATATATATATATATATATATGCAAAATGTAGTCAAATAGAAATGTTAAAATATGCAAAAAATAAAATCCACATTTGTGGCTGTATGTATACTGAAAATTGATTTCACAGGTCGCTCACAAGTTTGGGCATAGATTGAACCTGACTTGCGGTCCCCAGCCGAAATGGCGACCTTACGTTCCCGAAGTGGTTTATGAGCAGCCACGGGAACATTCAGCGACGCCGGGGCTCTGGCAAGGCCCGATTTACAATTCTCTGCAAGTTCACTCGTCTACGAAGAAGCGGTTCGGTATGAATTGTTTGGAGCCTTTCGGGATCGAATTTACCGAATTGAAGCTACTGAGAGTGCAGCAGAAGATATCGTCCAACAATGACCGCTATCACAAGCTTCCACAATTTCAACTTCTTTTAGCCAGCCCCACACCCAATGTTCATTCTCGCTGGAATTACAAACCGACTTCCTTACAGTCCACGGCGATGGTTCGCGCCGACACGGTACGTTTGTATACATATTCTTTTGAATTTGTCATTTGTCTATCGTCTATACACATCAGACAATACCATCTCAAATAGAATTTATATACAATTCATACCGAATATCTTTGAAGAACGATAGAACGTAATCCTGTTTTTACAATGAGAAAAGTGCAGATTCTTGCGATAAATGATGCGATTATGCGCAGTACGCGTAATTGCTATATCATCATACATACATTTACTTTTACCGTACGTGTTCGCGTATATTTGACAATATCACAAAGAGGATTTGTAAGGTCCGCTCGTAAGAGCCTGAACTGAAATGAGAGCATTATTAAAAAATTATTGACGTTACAGGCGAGCGATTGCCCGATATGCAATGGCGTGTCTCGGAGCACCGAGTTCAGTCCACCTCTTCTCCATCAAACGGCAGCTCTACCCGCATTGATCGGAGGTTACTGGCACAGCGAAAGATGCGAAAGCTCCGAGGGCGGTATCTGGTCCAGACGTCAATTTCAAATACACTCAGGAGATAGATTGTGGACCGGTCGTTGGGACTACTACGACGACCCACAATGTTCAACGTTTCTATATGCGATAACTGCGGCTGGAAGTTACATCCAACGAGCTGGAAGACAAAGACGTCACGAACAAATCGATCGAGAAACTTTCCTCGGCCACTTACTCAACGTACGTTCCACGAAGCTCTTGTTTAAAAGGAGTGTTACCAATTCGCTGGCAGCTATTCATACTTTACAAAGCATAGATCTCCATCGAAACAAATTGTATGTCAATTCGGCAAACGGACTAAAAGGCAAGAAATGGTCTGTTACAATAGATAAAAAGGTTCAAAGACAGGAAAGATCGCTTACTGGTGGCGTTTATACGCGGCTCTTGCGCGACGAACAGTCCATAGTTGAATCGAGATTCGCGGCAATGCTGCGTGGTCATCAGACAAACGACGAGAAAGCCACTACCAGAAAGCCTTTTCCTATCTGGAGTACCCTTACCGGTACCACAGAGCTAGATCTGCACATTGCCGAGAGCATTTTGATTCCTGGAGACGCCGCGATATCTCATCGTTGTAGCGCCGATCAGCAGCTCGGCGTGCCGCTCACTACCTGGCCGAGAAATTGCGTTCCTCGCACCATCGAGGCACCCTCGACGTTAGGACTACGAGCGAAACTGGGCGTTAACTGGAACGGTCAGTACATCCTATTGTTGGGTTTGCGAGATGACAATGTGTGGGAGGCTCCTCTACGGCAATGCGCGCAGATTCCACCTCACAATTCCAGTTTGCGAGCACATCTCCGGAGAAGCGTCGGTCTTCGATTCGGACTGCTCTCTTCAGCGTCGTCGAGCCGAATCTCTGGGTTTCTCTTATCGCGAGTCTTGCTGTGGTCAGTGTATATTTACTTTCTACGGTGATATATAGCTCAGGCGTCCGAGTCATTATCTTCTCCAAAGAGCGTTTAGATTCAGAATTTAACAAAAAGAGGTTTGAAATATGGAGATATATGGAGTTTAAACATTCCAAAATTCTTTCCTTTTCTCGTTTTCTCGTGGAAAATTCCGTAGAAACGTAACGCTTGTATATATGTAATTGTGTAAATAGTATCGAAAGGATCGGAGGATCGCGGCAGTAATGGCAATTGGAGGATCACGCAATTAAATTATTATAATTGCGTCGCAACCTTGTTGTTGCGTGTTTTTAACGAAAATCTCGATAGATTTAAGAAAACGTATAATCCATCGCGAACAAGCCATGATTACACGATTGCATCATGTAAGCTGCACTTGGGATTTACATTATTTTACTACTCTATATTAAAATTGAGATGTACATCTGCGATCAGCTGTAATAAATTTAATTAAGCCGCTACACACACATTGAGAACAGCTAAATCCTTCTAATCTTTTGCGCCGATTCCTTCCTTTCAATTCCGCGTCAGGTTTAATAAATCTGACATGATATGACCGATTGTGAGTATAGTTCATCACTCTCTCGTTTTCCCACGTCTTCACTTTTCGTTTACTCCAGATTACTCCAAAGCTATTAATCAAGATATCAAGTAAATATCAGTTTCGTCATCAGATCTCGTGCATGCGTTATCACATACGTGCGGGTTATAAATTACTCTCTCTCTCTGTCTCGCTCTTTCACCGTGGAATTATAACATACATATGTCAGCATATTTGCAAGTCAGCAGTGCCAGATTGCGTTTTGTTCCTCGCTTTTGCACCAGCTGAAACGGACCAGGGGTAACGGGCGCAAAGGAAGACGGGAAGAGCTCCGTACACTATATGTATGTGCGTGTCGCACTATCCGATCGGGATACTCGTAGAAAACTTGATCGTTGATCGTTTGCTGTCTCGAGACGAGACGACACGAGACGAGGGAAAAGCGATGAAGAATCTCCTCGCCACCGACATCACATTTAGTCAAATGGAGAATTTGGATCGCTTCATGTTCGGATGGCTCGATTACGCGCTCTTCATTCTGCTGCTGCTCGTCAGCATTCTCATCGGCGTATACTTTGGCTTCTTCAGCAAGCAAGACAGCACAACGGAGTATTTCCTGGGCGGTAAACGGATGGGATGCTTTCCCGTCGCGATGAGCATCATCGCTAGGTCAGTGACTCCCTTTTCAGAGCTAAACGAGCACGTTAAACATTAAAAGTGATTGATTGTTGAAACGCCAAAAAAGTTTTTCAAATCTCTCGCACCACACTGCTGCTCCATACTGTCTGATTTTCTCTTAATCTTGACTGTACATTTTTCCAGATATTTCGCTTCATATACAAGTATCAAGTATACCAACTAATGACGCAGACTTACTCTGTTTAGCCACATCTCGGGTATCAGCTTGTTGGGCATTCCCACGGAGGTTTTTCATTACGGCACCCAGTATGCCGTGTGCGTGTTCACATCGATCTTTACTGCCCTGATCACCTGTTACATTTTCCTGCCGGTGTTCTACAAGTTGCAGCTAACCAGTACTTTTGAATATCTGGAGATCCGATTTACCAGACCGATCAGAATCCTCTCTTCGATGCTATTTACCATCTCGCTCTTCATGTACTTGCCTATTGTTATCTATGTACCTGCCATCGCTTTCGCGCAAGTTAGCAATCTGAGCGTACACACGATAACGCCGGTGCTCTGTATCGTGTGCATCATTTATACCAGCATTGTAAGTACGCAAATGATGATGCGGAAAAAAACAATCTTATTGTCTTACGGACATTAATATCTCCGAAATTAAAAAGTCAAAATTATTTTGCCATATCTAATTGTAAGCATATGTAAGCATTGATAAATCAATGTTAGGCGTAAGGGGCTATAGCGAACGCTACAGGAAACGTTAGTTGAATGTCAAGAGAGTTTTAGAATTTTAGAGTAGAATAAAAACAGATTTTATAACGCGCGAGTCACACACACACACACACACACACACACACATTTATCCTTGTGACATCACATAAAACTTGAGGATTTATATATAGAATCTGTAACTCATCGATCGTGCAAGTTCTCTCTCGTCGTGTAGTAACAATTAAGTTTCTGAATTTTAAAACTTTAAACTTGTTTTTTCGTACGCTTTTCATAGGGCGGTCTAAAGGCAGTGGTATGGTCGGACACAATACAATTTTCCGTAACCGTCGGTGGGCTCTTTGCGGTTCTTGTGCTGGGGATACTTTCTGTTGGCAGCGTAGAGGAAGTGTGGAGGATTTCCGGCGAAGGCGGTCATCTCATTTTCTTTGAGTAAGATAAAAACAAAGTCCTCGATTTTCTTTTCATTTTATATTATTTACATTTTATTATTATACGTATTATTAATATATTACATTTCTTCATCAGTATGAATCCGAGTCCGTTCGCGAGGAACACTTTTTGGAGTATGGCTATAGGTATGACGGTAATATGGCTCGCAAATATCGGCATTCATCCAGGTACGGTGCAGCGATTTCTGTCAGTGCCTAGAGAAATCGATGCCAAACAGTAAGTATCGGCTCTTTCAATCTACTCCTGCTGCAAATTGTAAGCACACGTCTTTAAAGAATTAAAGCGGGCTTTAGAGGATTTAGAGGATAAAAACTAACAATAAGTAGAAATGGGAGTAATATATTGCTAATCACGCTCGATCTCTTCTTTTTTACTGCGGCATATATAGCGGCATTGCGATTACTGCGGTAGGACTGATAATTGTCAAACTGATCTGCGTCTTTACCGGATTAATCATGTTTGCCAAATATCATGATTGCGATCCTTTCCTGACCAAGGTATAACGGCGGTATTATGATTATTTACAAATTGCGCCAAAAATGAAAGATATTTAAATAAATGTTTAAGGGACGAGATTTAAGTGTTTAATTTGTCGACATCTATTTTTTATTAACGTTTTGTGTACGCGCAATTATGATAATTATCGTGGATATCGTGGAAAATTGTAAATCTAGCTTTTCATTCGAGCAGTCGATAAGTCGCACCGACCAGACTCTACCATACTACGTGATGGACGTTGCTGGGCATCTGCCAGGGCTTCCGGGATTATTCTTAGCGGGCCTAGTGAGTGCCGCGCTCGCGACTATGAGCGCCAGCTTGAACACCGTGTCCGGTACCATTTACGAGGATTTTATAAAGCGATGGATTCCGGATAGCCCCAAAAAAGAAGCTATGGCCGCCAACATTATGAAAGTGAGCGATATGCGATGCTAATTGTCAATTAATAGAATTTCTTGCTCTAGTCTTTTTAGTTGCAATTAATAGAATTTTTTGCTTTAGTCTTTTTAAAAGCTTGAGGATTTACGATGTTGTTAATTTAATTAATTTTTTTATTAATTGATATATAATTGATGTTTCTCTCTCAGGGCATCGTCGTGATAACCGGTGCAATTTCAGTTGGTCTGGTGTTTCTAGTCGAGCGACTAGGATCGGTCTTTCAAATAGGTGTAAGTATGCGTGGCGTGACCGATGGACCCTCGCTGGGCCTGTTTGTGTTAGGAGTGCTAGTGCCCTGGGCGAACGCGAAAGGCGCGTTGTTCGGCGGTTGCGTTGGCCTGATCAGCATGCTTTGGCTAGTTGGAGGCGCTCAATGGCACACCGTACATAACAGAATTAAATACGATTCCTTACCCACATCGGTGGACGGTTGTCCATACCCGTTGAATCAGACTTCTTCGACCGCGACAACGCCTACTTGGACGGATTCTGCCGAGGAACCTATGATACTCTTTCAAATATCCTTTATGTACTATAACTTGATAGGAGCGGTAATCGTTGTCGTCGTTGGCACTATCGCGAGTTTCGTCTTCGGTGTGAATCTCGAGGACGTAGATCCCGATCATATTACGCCAATGATGAAAAGGTACGATATACTATATATTCCGATACAACTTATATATTTACGTTTATGTATATATATGTATATATACATGCACGCGCGCACGTGCGTATGTGTGTGTAGTTTTCCGATCAGTTAAGGAGAAAACAGCTTCAAATAGAGCTGCCTTCTACATTATAACACACTATCATCAAATGTTGGCTAGCTTTATATATATATTTTATAAATTAAGGATTATTCTGTTCGTGTATAACATATATATACAATCCGAGATAAAACTCGCATTATTACGCGTGCATAAAATATACTCTTAGACTTATGACAATGTTGACGGTTTTTTTTTGTTTTTTTTAATATATAATCTCAATTTTTAATTTAATTCTCTAGGTTTCTTCCTTCTCGAAGATATACCGAAGTCTCGTTGAGAGAAGCACCGCTATCACTCGACGTTGCGCCAGAGAAAACCAAATGATCGGAATCGCGATTCGTAATTATTTTAGTCAGTGATAAGCGAGCTGAGTGTAGATCAACCTGAGAAATCTCTCGATAATCTTCATTCTGGAAGAATTTCCATTAGCTGTGTCACCAATGATGTGTTTCCAATTAAGTCATCTGACGACCGCGCGGTTACGGCTCACGACAAGGGGGTGTCTTATTGATTAATAGACGCATGCGCCAACTATCCTGCTGTCACCATGCCACAAAAGTCGCGATTGTTTCCGATCTCTCAGTATCATTCCCGGCATCTGTGACGAGACGTTGATTATATTTGTCTCTCTATAGAGTCTCTGGTCAGGAAACTGGAAACGGAGATTGAGTGCTCTTCGTATCGTTTCAACGGAACAAATTGGTCATGTAAATTTTGCTCTACGATGAGAAAGAATATAGAAATTTATCTTTAATTTTATCGCTATTTTTATAATAGATTTTTCAATGTTGTTTCTCAAAATTTTGACAATCCAAGTCAACGAATGAAAGCTGATATCGAAGAGCACGACAGATGTTTTAACTCGCTACGCGAGTCAGCGCTTCAAAATCAGCCCCGTGGACGTTGGAGGGAAAGTTACGTCCCTGAAGATGTTGATCGGGGTTGCTCGGGGATGGCCGCGTGTCCTCGCAGATAGGATGGCCGCGCCTACACGTGGAGCGACTGGAGCGAGTGTTGTCGCGAATACCGAGTGTCCTCGATCCGACCTCGCAACGTTCAACAAGTTCAAGTACCGATACACTTGCGGCGGCATCCTCACAGTGATTTCTCACGATCGATCATGGCGATTTTACAAGCGGATGACATTTCATCATGTAATATGATCGTCAGTACCTTCGAATGATGGACCATTATAGAGAAGCGTTAACACACGATCGACACGTCAAAGATTGCTACGTGACAAACTGAGGGCTACAGAACAAGAAATTTTCATCGTGTATATCGGAGATATCAACGAAAATCCAAAGCAAGAGATTTATAACAAACAGTAGGTCAGACGTTTCTACGGATTCTAATTAATTAATTATATCTTAAATAAGGAGCTGTCACAATTTATTGTGATTCCAGGGGAATTGACTTTTATTCTTTTTGCACATCTTGACTCGAATGCTTGCCACACTCAAAGCTGAATAATATAAAAAAATCACTGGATCACTACGTGATCACAATTCACAGAGTTAATTTCAATCTTTCTATATGATTGCGTCTTGCATAATTTCATTGATATTCCAAGATTCGCTCACATTTAATGAGCATCATGATGCAAATATGATACAATATTATGGATAATTGTTCGCGGGAAATCGATGGAACACAAAAATTTTGTCGCAGCTGTATGCATAGATTTGACGTGATGGAAGGAAAATTTAACCAGAAAAGTTTTGAAAAATTTCGGTTGTTTGATCGGCCAGTCGTTTATAGGCAGCAGCAAAACGGGTGGTATGCCGAAACACAGCCGTGCGTACAACCGCGCCTCACCTTTAATAATAGATAAAAACTGTAGGCATTCGTGCCGGAAAAAGAAACCGAAAGCATCCTCACAGAAAAAGAGAGTGCGTGCACGAGAGAGAGAGAAAGGGAGACGGAGAAAAAATAACTTTCAGTTTGCCCGATGCTAACGAAAAACGCACGTCAGTTATCTGGCTGCAGTCAATATCATTCGTATCCGTATCTCAGTTGATTTGACCGAGTTTTGATTAACGTGGAAGATATCGTCCAGCGGATTTATGGGAAAAAAATATAGAGAAACTGTCCATCCAGTTTGTCCAAAAATATCGAAATAAATATCTCTGCTATCGGTATTCTATATTATCGATATTATGATAACGAGCTGATTCATCTCTCGTAAAATGGATAATGACAAATTACTGAACGGAAATATCTTAAAACATCCATGCGAGCTTCTAACAATAACTTCCGTCATCAAATTAACTCACAGCTTTTCCTTTGTCTAATTTGCACGTTACGCAAAGAGAAGAGTATAATAGCTAGTGATCAAATAAAATAGTCAGGTCCAACGTTTTTGTCCTTTCTGTCACACAAGGGGGACCATTTATTAGATCCCCTTTGAATCTCTTCTCGAAACCAAAGACACCGGATGGCGATGCGATGAGAGGGCGAGAATATTTAGATATTCTTCGTGTGTGGAAATGACCTGGTTGCCATCGATGCAGAGAAGCTTACTGGGATTAACGGTGCTGACGATCGTCGGCCTGACGACTTTCCTGCTTAGCAGGAAGCTCGCGCTAGAGACGCGCAGGCGGGACAGCCTGCTCCTTGACATGATCGCTAACATTAGCGGTCACATGGATCAACTTGACAGCGGCTTCGATGACATCGCCGCGCAAACGGGAATTGCGCGGAATCGCCTGCTACGGCTGGTCGCGCTCCATCGGGAGAATCTCTTGATGTGTGCGATACTCGGCGAGAAACAACGGAGACCAAAGCGAACGTCAAGCGGAAAACCAGCGGCAGCGAAAAGAATTGGAAAACAACGGTTCATCGTATTGCACCATCATCGATAACTCGTAATATTCGGACGTAAAAAGATGCGGGAGGTCGATTGAATTAGATTGATGTGTACCACATCAAATTATGATATGTTTAATTGCGATCTCTTAATGAGAAATTATTTTTTTTAAACGTGAACATTTCAATTTTTTTAAAAATACCAAGTATTCGTCTAAACTATACGCTACAATTTCTTTTTCCATTAAGTTGCTTGGCTCGGTTAATTTAGTATGTACATTCAACTTATATATATATATATATATATAATTGATTGATTAATACATCCAATCGTACCCGCGAAGAATAAGGAGGAATTAATTTTTCGTACGTAATTGATAAGACAATCATTTGTTGGCGAGCGAATCGAATTTACTGCGAAAATGCACACCTAGCGTGGAACATATCTTATTATTAGAAAATAAAGTCTATTTTTAGTGAATAACTATACGACAAGTCGATCAGCTTAATAGACTTATCAGTCGATTAGTAAACCAGATGTTCAAGATCGGGGCCAATTAACAAATTCGCGATCACACAGGGACGCGCTTACGCGAGACATGCAGTGATTTCATTGCAGTTTCAGCTTCCGAAGCAAATTTGAAATATAGAACATGGCTGTGATCGAGTAATATCATCTATCACGCAAACAATATTGTTACAAACGCGATTACAAAAAAATCGCGGATGAACTTGTTAAACTTAATTGAATTGAATTTAAGCGTTTAATATTACTTGTGTGTGAGTATTTTCACTGTGTGTAGAACGTTATCACACTTATATTATTCTTACTGTTCGTCGGCTATCGCCAAACGTTATTTCAAATGTCAAATGGAAGTATACATATATACGTGTCAATTGTATTCACTTAACTGTTATAGTACACAGATTGTACAGACTGTTCCAGATTCGCGAAATATCTTCACCGATAATACATAAATCTGCGGAGGAAATTTCTTTTTACAAAAAGCTCCGGATGCTGCTCGTGAATGCGCGTGATGTACATACGTGTCACGATCGGAAAGAAAATCTCATCGCAGTTAGAAGAGATTCATTTGCAGATTCGTTTGGAAAACTTACCGAGAGCAAGTTCTTTTAAAGTTGTTAAAATATACACATATAATATATAAATGTCTTGTCACACGTGAGTCTGGGACGCTTTGTGTATCTACTGACATATATATTTATATACGTATAACGCGCGGATTAATACACGCGGGTCACAACGATTTACGATTTATGACACGCGCATGAAGAATTATAATCCGTTATACAATACTTTTACGTTTGCGCGTTATCAAACATAATCGGATCAGCGTAACGATACGCGATTCGACGTACTCGCTTCATCACTTATATTTGTACGTACTTTTACTTGATTTTTACTTGCTGCGTGCGCACACATCCACACACGTATATACGCAGGCACGTATACGCGTGAGAGGTGCAATCTTCTCTCGCAGAGATCTTATTTGTATAATTGTACGTAATTATTTTTATAACTCCTTGGAGACAAAGATGCCAATAAATCATTTATGTGTAACATTGTATCTCTATAATATATGTGTTTGCTCTATATAATTGTGCCCCGTATAATTGTATAATTGTTGAATATGAGGCTGGTTGCCGCGTTATTCACCAAGAGAATTTAGACGAGCCTAACGCGTAATCGAAATACGCACGAAGCTCTAGCATTCTGCACACTCTCTCAACACTTATGAATTAATTCTTCGGCCTTAACTCTGAATTAAAACTTTATGTATGTATATATATACAGTTCGACAAAGACGGCAGCTTCTATATCTGTTCTTCATCATCAGGATTCTATAGATAACTGGAGATTGACTCTTTGAGTCTTATCAAGCTAGAAGCTGCAACAATAACTCGATCTCAGATATCTTTTTACCGCACAGGACAATTATTATTTATCGCCAAAAGAAAACATTATTCTACAACAAAATATATTTAGTCGGGTATAGATTTTTGTATAGATTTAGTTTACCTAACACGTACCGCGTGGTATCGGCTATTTTACGTTATCTTTCGGTTGATGTCTCCTCTATCAGCATGACGTTGATAACGCGGCTACCAGTAGTGTTGTAATACTGTACTTACGTTTATGCTTAAAATACTTACGTGTCGTTGCGCGCTACGACAACGAAAAATAATTTGCTGCAACTTTGATTATCTTCTCGCTATCAATTCTGATTGCAGTATTATCAATTGACCCCTGAGTTTGACATGATGCTCAAAGTGATCAAGTGTCGTGCAGGTTTCTAATCGTGGATAATCTCGTTTCTCTCTCTCTCTCTCTCTCTCTCTCTCTCTGTTATAAAACGTTGTGATTCCTTCACAACATTAGCTCCAGAGTCATAAGATTACTCGAAGAGACAAAGTATACGAGTTCCCCCAACACGCGGTTCCCCCTCTCTCGTTTGCAATCATCTCAACCGGATGAGATGACTTCGTGGTATGTAATTTGTCGCGAGTTCCAAGTCAGTTAAAAGGATTCGCGCAACAGTATTCTTCGCTATCCTTCGGTTTCTCTCCTCAAACGACGTGTCGACACGCCGACAATGGCAGAAGAAAGCGGTAGGTACTTAATTATTCAATTCAATTCTATCGCAACTGTGAATGTTATAATAACTTGTAATCAATCGGCCCGCAATAGTACTCGTAAAATATAACGCGTCGTAGCGTCGAATTAGCCTAAGTTATGGCGTCTATATAAAACAAATTTTATAGAGACTGCAGGTTGGGGCTCAGAGACTTGGACCCCTTTGTAGCTGCGCTCTAGATCTACAAATCCTAGATCTAATCATATCTATCCTTGTAGCTATAAGTAATATATAAGCAATAAATGGCGTGAGACTTTAAACAGCTTGACAAATTGACCTTCGTCGTAGCGTGTTCCGGGCCGGGTTACAAGAGTCCAAGAGCGGCGATGCTCGAGGGACCGCGCGAGAAGCTGCTTTACGTCATCGGTATACATACGGATCCCGAAAAGGCTGATGTCCTCTGCACAGTGGATGTGGATCCCGATAGTCCTACGTATTGTCAGGTATTGTGTATTAAAGATGTTTGTAGATTAAACGAAAATATATAATGAACATGAGAACATGTCGTGAGAGAAACTAACGAAACTTGGATTCGAAACGCAGATAATACATAAATTAAGAATGCTAACGGCTGGCGATGAGTTACATCACTCCGGCTGGAATATTTGTAGCAGCTGTCATGGATCGCTCCGCAAACGTGATACGCTGGTATTGCCGTGTCTTATGTCAGATCGGGTGTATCTGGTTGATACGAGTAACGAGAAAATGCCCAGAATCAAGAAGGTACCATATGAATTATATACGAGATCGTGCGTCTGACATTCTCTCTTTACATATATATATATATATATACATGTATACATACATGTAACGTATGACGTGAGATAAGATACGGAGATACAAAACAATTTGTACAAAAGACGTTCCTCGCATTTCTCGCTCGAAAAAAAAAGTAGTAATCTAATTGATCTAAATAATCTTCGTGAGGTTCTGGAACCGGAAGAAATGCACAAGCACGGGATATCTACGCCGCACACTTCTCATTGCCTGCCAACTGGCGAGATAATGATCTCCACCATGGGAAATCTTAATGGCGATGGATTGGGTGAATTTTTCTGCATCGACGCAGAGACTCTACGAGCGAAAGGCACATGGACCAAGGGCCACGAGAAAGCAGCTTTCGGATACGATTTTTGGTATCAACCGTATCACGATACGCTCATCTCTACGGAATGGGGTGCACCCAGAGTCTTTAAGAAGGGATTTATCCCAAAGGACGTTTATGATCCCAGTAAATATACTTATATCCGAGGATCAATTTTATCACGGGAAAACATCAAGTAACGATAATCAGCAATATCAAATTATCAAATGATATAATTGATTGATAATTTGCAGAGATCTATGGCAGAAACTTGAACATTTACTCGTGGAACGAACGAAAGCTGAAACAGACCATCGATCTGGGAGATGACGGAATCGCACCTTTGGAAATAAGATTCCTTCATGATCCATTAGCAGCCGAAGGATTCGTGGGCTGCGCGGTAACGTCGAATATTTATCGATTTTATAAGATGGAGAACAACTCGTGGAAGGCCGAAAAGGTGATTCAGATACCACCGAAAAGAGTCGAGGGATGGATCATGCCCCTGATGTCAGGTATTACACGAAGTATCGCTTCTCTTCAAAACTTTTCAACAAGTTCTGCGATATATGAAATGCCAGCAGAAACTCTCAATCGATGCTGATGATTGTTGACATCGCAGGTTTTTTTTTTTGCACACGTTGAAAGCCTTCCTTTGCTTCTTAGGTATGATCACCGACATTCTCCTAAGTCTCGATGACAAATATCTATACCTGTCCAATTGGTTGCACGGCGACGTTAGACAATATGACATTTCTGATACAAAAAACCCGAAATTGACGGGTCAAGTCTTCCTAGGAGGATCGATACTGAGCGATTCGCAGGTGCGTGTGACGCGAGACGAGGAAATGAGCAGTCAGCCCGACCCAGTCTACGTGAAGGGACGTAGATTGTATGGCGCGCCGCAAATGTTGCAGTTAAGTTTGGACGGACGTCGTTTGTATGTGACTACGTCGATCTTTAAACCATGGGACAAACAATTTTATCCCGATCTCCTCAAGTAAGTATAACAGTTTCCTCTTCTGTTACGTCTCCTTCTCTCCTTCTCTTTCTACAAAATAAAACAGAGTTTTTAGAATCTCTACTCTCATATATACGCTATAATGTTGGGCGCATTATTTAGATATGGATCAACGATGGTGAAGCTCGATATTGACGTCGAGAAGGGCGGAATGAGGCTCGACCATCGATTTCTCGTTGATTTCGGCGCCGATAAGAGCGACATTTTACTGGCGCACGAGATGAGGTGAGAAATACCTTGTAATTTATTGTCTCAATAAAAGAAAGATTCCTATAGTTATTTATTCTCCTCGAAAAGGAGAATAAATTTCTAAAGGAATAAACGAATTAAATGAAATAAAAAATTAATTTCGGACTTTATCTTGTTCACAGAGATGAACTCATAATCTTTTCAGCTCTTTTTAATACAATTCTAATCACTAATTTCGACAAGATTAAGCATGTTTAATTTCACAAATCAAATTATGGCCAATTTCTTTTGATCCAATTAATTTCTGCCTTAGACATAGAGGCTGTGTTATACTGTTACCTCCCGTAACGATTCCATCATTTGTTAATTTTTGCGTATAGATATCCTGGTGGAGATTGCACCTCGGATATATGGCTGGCAGAGAAACCTTAAACTTTGATGATTGGACTGTAGATGTAGAGTCAAAACATTTCAACATCTGCGAAAGTAGTAATGCATTTTATAGCATCGTAGTTTTGCACAAAAACATTTCTGTCGAAATGTTCTACGTTATAAACAATTCAAAGATTGTGTAGCCACATGTAAAATTTCATTGCGTTTCCATGAAGAATCGCGTCGGCCGATTTTATTTTTGTGTTCCGTAACAATGTTTCGTATATTATCCCCGCAATATACAATACCCGCAATGAGTTACGTAAAATTAAATTTTTTCCCCACGAAATCTCTCGATCCTTTTCCTCCATCTAGAAAATTATTCAAAAATGTTCTTTCGATAAGGATAAGAAATGTACTTATCAGATAAATTAATAAAAGGTACTCATATAAAATATTTTCGTTTATTTCCATGGATGGTGCTTATTAATTCCAGCATATTGCATCAAGTAATATAGTAGAGATTTTATAATGTATGAAATTACATGATGCTACGTAGTAGATAATAAGTGTTCCGCTTCTTCGAATTTATACAACTAAAATCACCAAACTCATAATTGTTTAAAATCGAAATGTTCTACGTTAGAAACAATTCAAAGATTGTATAGCCACATGTAAAATTTCATTGCGTTTCCATGAAAAATCGCGTCGGCCGATTTTATTTTTGTTTCCGTAACAATGTTTCGTATACATCATCTACAATACCCAATGAGTTACGTAAAATTAAATTTGCACAATTATATCATATGTAAATCCAAAATTCGTGAAATATTTGAAAAAAAAAAAAAAAAAAAAAAAACGAGTAACCGTCATTACTTCTGCAATATGTGAGAAAATACTCTTTATTACGCGATAGCATTATTTAGGTATTAAAAAAAAATGATTGGGCGAAATATGTGACGCCAGAAAGTAGCGAGGACACGTCAAGTTGGCTACGAAGCTGATGAATTTGTTTTTTCGCCCGGATCGTCCGATGCTAACGCGATAAAAATTGAAACCGAATCGACGCGCAGCAAACTTTCAAAACCACGCATATATTCACTACAGAAATTATTTTGTCCCGTTAATCGGTAATAAGTTGTGATCAATTTTGCGAAATTATTAAATTTTTTAAATTACGTACATACATACGCATGCACGCGCGTCTAAATGTATGTGTATACGCCGAGTTTAAACGTATTTAATTGTTCAATTACGTATAACTCAATATAATAAACAGACTTCTCTTCATCTTTCTGTTAAACTGAATCTTTTCTTTTTGTTTTTGTTTTTTTTTTCTTTCTTTCTTATCATCTCTCAGTTAAAAAGTATAAATGCTGCAATGGTATGTGATACCTACGTAATCTCGAATCCTGAATTAATCGGTAAGTATGCTCGCGTATACATCGTACGTATATCTAGATTTAAAATGTTACATCGGTGCAACACCCGATTCAGATGTATCGTTTAAAATGCCAGGTATTCTTTTCCTGACACGATGGCATTACACGACGGCAAGCTCGTGCCATCATGCGGTGAATGTTGACCATTTATCGTAATAACGATCAACGATCGAGATTTACGATCATCCATCACATCATCATGATCGGACTTCCCGTCAATATCGTCATCAGCCGAACTTCTCGCGACTACACCATTAGCGTATGGATGAAGTGTGGCCGATTCTACATTTCCCCCAAAAATTCGTGACTCCCAAAAGAGTGCTATTTATCCGTGCTCGGATAAATAGAATATTGTACATACATATATATTCATCAGATTCTCGCTCCCTTTGAAACAAAGAAGACAAGGGGGAAAAAAAAGGAGAGAAAAAGAAAAGCTAGAAGCACTCGTTATCTTTAAATGTAATGTAACAGATCGCAAGCGCGTCAACTTCGTTTTTGAGACAACTATAGAATCGGCACTGCACTCTCGGGGTATAGTGGATTTTCAATTGTCGCGTTGGAAAGATCGATGCCGCGATCGAGCTGTAAAACCGACTTATTTCCCGGATGACATTTCTGCCCCGGATCACTCCGCAGATCAGCTGGTTTCGAACGGAGCGTTTTGCTTCCTACGGCAACGTAGAGCGACGCAGGCACAACGATACGTTAATTTGAGTACCGTGTGAGAAGAGTGTCGAGCCATCGGGGCGCGCGAGCGCCAACCGTCGTCCGTTCAGACCCACGGTGTCCAGCCCTCGTACAACAAGGCCAGATTATCGTTGCTCTGCGCTTCACGTATCACGTATTCCACCTGTTCGGCCGTGGTGTACTTGCGCGACGGTTGCGGGTCGCGGCCCTCCAGCTTCATACGCACGCGACGCCACACGTTCAGCGCGTAGGCATTTCGTTCTTGCACAGCTACAAGAAGATGAAAGACAAAAAGACGGAATTACATATAAAGGGAAAATGTTACACGAGCGAAAGCGACTGCTTGGCAAGTGTATATATTGATGAAGAAAGAGTCAAGACAAATCTCGGTGACTACCTACCCTTGCCCGTAGTCGGATCTCTGGCCCGGATCGGTGTCCCCTTTCTCGGGCTCAGGCGCCCTACACTATCCTGCTCCCGTATCAGCTTATTACCCTTCTTCCTCTTCTTCCTCTTCCTCAGCAAATGGCTCGCGGCCCGCTTCTCGGCGCCGCCCTTCAGCCCCGAATTCAGCTTGCGCTGGTTCGCAAAATCCAGTAATTGATTGTACAGACTGGGCACTTGAATCGTCATCGCCTCCAATTCTTCCTTCATCGCCATACCGCGAGCGGAGTCGAAATTCTCGGCTTCCAGTTCCTTCACCACCGCCGAAATGTTCTCCGTGAAGGATCGATAAGCGAATAGAAAGTCTTGCAGACCGTCGATGTTCTCCTGCTTGGCCATTGTCTTTAGCAACGCTCTAACATCCGACATTAGTCGGTGATGCTCGGCGAGTACGTTCTGCAGATTCATCACTCGCTCCCTCAAATAGTCTTCGGCCGTGAAGAGAGCCTCTTGTTTCTCCTGCAGCTTCTTCTGGGTGTCGATTATTGCCTCGGACACCATTTTCTCAGCCTGCTTCAACCACGTGGCGTCCACATTGTTTTCTAGCTGCAGCAGTCGCACGAGACTCTCCTCCGTCATGGTAACGGTGATGTTGAGATTGACCGTCAGTATACAGCTCTCCTCCCAATGCCTGATCAATTTGACCAGATTAGCGTCGTGCGTCACACTCTCCGACGTCCTAGTTCTCAGGGCCTCGTAGTGCAGTATGGAATTGCACGTATTAACTACCATCGCGGCTAAATTATGCTGTCTAGTCAACTTATCGGATGATGACAACACCGCGTTGTCGAATGCGGACATGACTTCGCCCAGCGCTGGATTGGCGCCGGCAGCCCACTTGAGACGTTGTATAGCACTCGAAACGAGATTCTGTTGTTGCTCACGTGCTTCGCATACTCGAGACTGTAAATTGGACAGTGTCGCCGCCTTTTTTCGTAACTCGAGCATGAAGGTAGGGCGATCTAAAAGAAACGAGGAAATTATTATATTTCAAACACGTGCTCTCTTGCGCGAAACTCAGCGCGACGACTCTGTGTGATAGAAATATTTAATATTTTTAAATTAATTTAAATTTGAATTTAAAAAAAAATGTCAATGTTTAATTTAATACTTAAAATCGAGAAAATGGACAAACAGATAAAAATTCTATAAAAATCAATAATCTTTATTAAAGAGGTTGTTAGTTAAAGCCTAGGACTCACTCATATGATTCATGGGATGCATCGGGCTCATTGGATTCATTGGATTCATATTGGGCCTCATCATTAGAATATCCTCGTGCAACCAATGATAAGCTGTCTGCTGAACTTGAAGTCTGTGAAGACTGACTTTTACTACCTCGGCGCTCTGCTCCGCCAATCCAGCAGCCTGTTTTCGTCGCCAGGCACTTTCCAAAGTGCTATTCAACGTGCTCGCTTGCGTCAAGACCGAGCCTGAGAATAATCCTCTCTTCACGCACAGATCCACCATCTTCCGACACAACTCCTCCAGCGAGACCTTGCTCTCCGCTCCAATATCTCTCTGCTCGATCTCGGTAGTTACATTCAAGCCCGTTCGCTGCAACAGGAAACACAGGGCGATCGCTAATGTCTGTGACGTCACCCCGAGCAATTGCCTTGAAACGTAATCGGCCGTGAACACTCGGACAGGCTTGTTAAGCCGTTCATCGTCATACACGTTCGCCAATCCGCCCTTGAACGCAATAGCAATGTCCCTGCACATCATGAAGAACTCTTGTATCGTGTGCAACCTCTTGATCAGAAATATATCCTCGAGAACTTGTCGGGCAGCCTTGTTGAAGATGGGTGCCGACATCTCCTTAGCCTCGCGTATCTGATCAATCTTCTTCCAATTCGTCGGGATGTCCAAAGCGCTCAGGGTAGCCACCAAAGTGTTACCTTCCATTTGCAGTTTCTCAAACAAACCGTTGAACCCCATTAGCAACATCTGACCTGGCGTTAGAGTTTCCTCCTGGCTCAAATCCTGAACTTCCGCCTGTCGCGATAGTAATGCCTCGAATCGTACTCTCATGTTAGTCACTATACTCTGTACTACCGCATGCGGGCTCTCCATCTCCATGACGGTGAATCGAAGATGCATCTCGAGCTGCGCTAGAATATCACCGAGCGGTATTCCGGTCAGTATTATGATCTCGCCGAGTTCGTTTATCATCCGCATCACGCTCGGCTCCTCCGTGATGATGGTCTTCATCGCTTCCGGCAATATAATGGTTTGGAAGTTGTAATTGAGTTCTTGCAAACCTTTGTAAATACAATCGGCGCTTTTCAGACACTTGAGTATCAGCGGAATCTTGGGATCATTGTTCGTCTTGTGACTCTGTGGTATCAACGTGACCAATTCGGCAATCAATGACGACATCAGACGCATCTCGTCGAGAAACCAGTCTCCCTCGCGGGACGTAAGATCCACCAAGCAATCTCCGGCGCATTTGGCAGCGCCCTCCATCATCAGGTACCGCTTGTTTAAGGCGCATAGCGCAGTGATATTGACGCATTCGAATGCTCTCTCTGCGCCTTTCTCTCGCCGCAGAAATCCCGTAATTTGCGCCCTTGACTCCGTGTACGCCTTCTCGATTCTATTCTTGGCTTCCGGCAAGCCTTCGGATATCATCCTCTCGTAAGCTTTCTTGTATCTCTCACTATATTCGTTCAAGATCGCTTCCATCTGATACGAGAAAGTTATTATCTGCTGAATGCTCGGATTGCTTGGATTGATTGGATTTAAACTCGCTTCGAATCGCGCCATGACCTCACGGCACGCCTCGACGGTGCCCGAGGCTAACAGCTCGTTCGCCCAAGTGTGATAGAGCACGGTACGATGTTGCGACAGAATACTAAGAGGGTATAGGTTGCAGATGGCGGAATATTGAGTCAACAGATCTATACATTTGGTTATGGAGAAAGCCTGGTCGGTGGCCAGTTGCATCAGCTCGTTCTCCGACTGCTCGCATTGCACTATCATCTGACTTTGTCCGGCGTTCTGCAGAAACTCCTTCACAAGGTCGAACACTACGTGATCTTGTTGAGTGGCCAAGGCTCCCAATTCCGCATGCCACTGTCCTAATTGGGATCCTCGCACGGCGGCCAGCGCGATCTGAAATAACAATTAAAATCAATAAAAAAAAAAAAAAAAAAACGTTACAATCAAAATCAATGATTTTAACGCGTGCAGCTTGCGGAAACAATTTGGTGGTCACACAGTTGCGGTTGCGCTTGCGAACACGGCGACTTACATTATGCATATTAATCTGTTTCTCACACTCTTCTATCTTCTCCTTCAAGTCTGCCTTTGCCTTCTCGTGAGAGTCTCGCGCACGCTTGAACGAATTGTATCGCTTCACTACCGAGTATAACGCATGATTCCGACCGATCGCCTGCGCCTCCTTCACTAGCCCGAGCTGCTGATGTCGGTCCTGCAGTAAATCCTGACATTGACGCGATGCTTCGGTCGCCTCGATCCAACTGTTCAAGTGATGGCACAGTAGCGGCAAAGTTTTAGCCAATTCGTCTCTACGATTTCACCCCACGAAAAGATAAAATGTTACAAATTATTATAAATACAATTCAAATGAATGAAACGCCAGAGAGAGAGAGAGAGAGAGAGAGAGAGAGAGAGAGAGAGAGAGAGGCGGAGGGGATTGACTCTTTCATTACTATTGAGGTTTTGCATAACAAGATGTTGAAAGTTGAAAAGAAAGAGGCGAAGAAGAAAAGAAATGTATGCATTTCAAATAACAGAAATATTATTCTCTCTTGAAAAATGTGAGATATAAAGAAACGCGCGCGAAATCTCTTATTTGAGTGAAACTTGTCGTTATTCTCTTACCGATTAGCCAGCCACTCGGCGCGCATCTCCGCCGTTCTCACTGCAAACATTGCACGCGTGAGCTCCTGCTCCAGTTGTTTCCTTCCAACGCCGGTGCATCTCGCTCTGGCCTGGCAAGCGCCGTAACTTGCTATGCTGGTGTCCGCACCCGCCCGCCAATCTACCAAAGGATCGTAGACGAACGCTTCCAGCAAAGTCAGCAGCGTCTCGCGGCCTCTACGCATCACTCTTAGAGTATGCTCAGAAGCGAACCTAAATATACCCTAGACACATAAATAGCGATTTCATTATATACCGTTCATGGCTAGGCATGGTTGAATGTAATGTAAATCAAGACCACTCATGATTGTGCATTCGTTCATCTCGAGCTCTCTCATCGACCCTTTGTGATTGCGAACGAGCTGCTGATAGCGAGCAACTGATAGTTATGGCAATTCTTTGCCAGGGGAACCACCAGATGAGTAGATAAGTAAAAGCACTCCTGAACAGACAGGTAGCAGCGTGCCGTATCTGCCGAATTGTTTCGTATCGATCTGCGCTCTTATCGACAAGTATCACAGCTATTGCGAATGCATTGTCACCAATTAGGCTCAAAATAATCACAATTGTTTCCTCAAAAAGTGACGAAACAAACGCGAGGTAAATTTTAAAAAATATATGTTTATACATCTATATATACATCTATACACACACACACACGCACACACACACACACACACACACACACACACACACACACACACACATAAATAAAAGATATATATATATATATATATATACATTTTATTTTTCCATAATTTCTTGTATTCGCAAAAAATTCATTTGTTTCAAACGTTTAGTAGATTTACGTAATCGTGATGCACGGTTTGCGGTGTATCTTGGCATTTCGTAGAGTACCGTCGAAAACCCGTTTCTTTCCATGTGTATGTACGCGTGTGCGTACCAAAGGTAAGTCGTATTACGTAGTATTAGCTAGTTGATCGTTTTCACGTATTACATGTTACTCCGATTATTTCATTACAGCGCGTAACTGAAAGACGATCTCGTAAGACACAAATAGCCACGAATGTATAAAGTGCTACGAACACATATCCTCAGTTTAATTTCTCTGCAAATAAATATATCCGTGCAAAGTTCCTTATTCCTTAAAACTGTTTAACGTTTATTCAGCGATTATTATGATATGTCCTTTGAACATTTTTGAGAGAAATTTTAATTTTTTCGTAATCCATTATATAAAAGGAATATCTTACAAGTATACAACTAAATTCAAGTTGACTTGAAACTTTTAGAATATCACAATTCAAAATTATATAATATATATATCTATATATATGCGCACGCGCTCGTGTGTGTTTGTGTGTGTGTGTGTATAAAATACGTTTCAAGTTTCTTTTCAGAATCATGTACTTGAAAGAAAGTAACGTTACTGTGGTGAACGTAAATGTATCAAAGATATCATCGGCTGACTTGTCAGAAACAAATAGCGCCGATAACGAACAGAATAGTCACGTGTTTTGGATCTTGCTGGATTGTTTCTTATTCGTTGCGATTGTATTGGGGAATGTTCTCACGATATTGGCAATCACATGGGCTCGTAGGCTCCGAAACGTCGTTTCAAATTATTTTATCCTAAACTTGGCGGTGTCGGATCTGATGGTGGGCGTAACGCTTCCATATCATTTGGCATTTTACGTGGACGGTACGTTACATCGAAACAAGTTGGTATGCATCTCACGCTTCGTCATGTTCACCTTAGCGTGCGGTGGAAGTATATACAATCTCATAGTGATCGCCATAGACCGATACGTCGCTATCGTGCATCCGTTGAGCTATAATGCATACGCGACCAAGAGACGCGTGCTACTGATTATAGTCATTGCTTGGATATGTACCATGGGTGTATCATCGATTCCGATATATTGGAATTTGTTCGATGAGCATAATGCCTCGCAGACGTGCGAATTGGAAACAGTATTACCGAGGTACAGCACCTACCGCTATCCTGTCGCTTCTTCGCTTCCGATAACAATCAATTCCGTGGAGCGATAGCCTGACGTGCGACTATGTATCGTTTCACGTCAGTAATTTGACGTAAACATTAATAATCGATTATTACAGTTTATTATCTCAAAGCAGTTGCACGCGCGCGACTGTAAAATATCATAAATTAATAAATACACATTATTTTGGTAGATGCTACATAGTGGCTATACAGATGCCGGCATTCTTTCTCAGTTGGATAGCAATGTTTCTGCTATATTGGAAAATCTGGAGAGAAGCGTATATGCATGCGCGTCGCATGAATCACGGTATCGTCCCGAACATTGCTGAGAAAAGCGATCGTAAAAGCGTACAGGTATAGTATATGTATATTACGTTTTAAATCAGAATATAGAGCAATTGAAGGGAGAAAATTGAAAATTGCAGTTATAAATTAAAGATTTTACAAGCGTAGCTATCAATGAGTGATAATAATTGACATTGAATTTTCGGATCAGGTGGTACTACTGATACTGGGTTGCTTTTCGATCTGCTGGTTTCCTTACTTCGTCGTAGCTTGCATGCGAACCTTTGGTTGGAAAACAAACTCGATATCGATTTGGTACAAATCTACGTTCGCATTGGCCATCGCCAACAGCGGTATAAATCCCTTTATATACGCGTGGAAAAATACCAATTTTCGCAAAGCTTTTCAAAAGATTTTACATTTTAAATCGCCTAATGTCAATTTCAACTCGAGCTTCAAAATGTACTTGGAAAAACAACGTGAGCTAAAGAGTCAGGAAGATGTACAAGATAATCACCATACAAATGAAAACAGTTCGCACGAGTGTTGCCCCGATCTCCAATCTGATCGTGCACAAGAGAATAGAACGGAAAACACGATTTTTTAAATTACATTCGTGTTCAGCCAAAAACTATCTAATAAAAGGAAAAATTGTAATTGTTATTTCTTCTTTTTCAATTTGCACGTATGCATCTTTCTTTCTCTTTCTCTCAATTGAAAATACATATTAAAATAAAAAAAGGAAAAACTAAAAAATACGACTATAAAGAATTGCAAACACAAAAGATACTCATCTGACGCAAAATTAAAACGTTTCGAGCGCGGTGCAAATAAATTTTCAAAAACAATGCATTTTTGAAACATATTAAAATATTTCATAATCATAATTAGACCTTTACCTTGTAATTATAATTATAAAAGATAGATAATAATACAAACTATCCCTTATTCCTATTCATCGTTATCGGGAAAAATTCTCGTTAAAATAATCGAAAAACCTACCTCGACTCCGGTTACTCCTAGAGCCGTTTTGATATTTGGTGTCATGCGGAATGGCACCTTTTCCGGGACACGTAGAGTTTTTCCTTTCTCGAAGCAGACATTGTAATCAATGTGCACAACTTGGCCGGTGTTAAGATCAACGAGAACATTGTCCAAATGTCTGTCGCCTAAACCTATGATGTAACCAATGATGGACATAACCGCAACGGAATACGAGTAGTTCTTGGTAGCTTGCCACCAGCTGCCGGCGTTGATACTGTTACACCAAATCTCTCTGCAATGTATATTGGTAAAGATAAGAGAGAAAGATAAGAGAAAAGACGTGCAGCAAAAAGAAACATGAACGAGCGCGAGCGAAAGAGAAAGACGGAAGACTCTATTGAAATTAGTACGCTAATGCTCGTTAAATAATAATTGCAACTAACTTAGCTAGTAGATCTTTCGGAGTCTCCCTCATCAATTCCTCCAAGACTTTTTTCAGTACGTGAATAGGCCACTCCTTGCGATTCTCCAAACCGATCCCGCACTCTTTGAGTAACGGTGTCAACTTGTTATAAAACAACTCTGACGGTCGCATAATCGTAGAATTGCCGCCACTAGTCTTGCTGATGACAGCACACTCACGCTGCTGCCATCGCTTGTAGAGTATAAACAGTGGCGTCACGCCGTCGACCCACTGAATGAGACCGGATCTAGGGCCCAATGGAATCACCGAATAATGGCGCGCCCTATAAACCTTGGTATCGCTATTCTTTGACATCATGGTGTTACATATGCTCAGGAATTGCATTATTCTCTCATCCAGATGCAGGTCCTCCAGTCCCTTAAACAGATACGTATAAACGTGACCATCGGATCCGTGGAATATCAGTTTTTTCGGCTTTGTCTTCGTCGGTAGAATCTGAACGTTATTGTCTACCGACATGATGGTGACAATGTTCCTATTATCGATGGCAGCTACGCCCGGCATGGCAATGCGAGTGTCCTTGAGATTGGCCAGGACAGGACTAATGTCCGTCATTGACAGAGAATAAGCGGCTCGTCGGTGCACGCGTTGCGCCAACTTGGTTTCCAAGTGCTTCAAGGCCAAACTTGCCATTTGAGGCTTTGCCGGATTCTTGGGATTGTTGAGTCGATTTATCACTTCCTCTATGGAAGCACCAAATTTCTCCTGAAAGGTTTTCTCGTGCGGCGTCTCGGCAGGTACGGACGTCATAGACAGCAGATTCTCTAGTATAAATGTAATCGGTTTCAAAATGATCCTATGCTTCTCCGCGATCAATTTATCCTTGTCTTCGAGCGTAAGCCAGACATTGTCCTGCACCCGCTGAATCTCAATCTCCAGCTGCTCAAATCGTTTGGTAATCTCCGTGTGATGTTGACACAACGTTGCCAACCACAGCTCGTCCCACAGCAACGTGATTCGTCTGAGCTCCTTCACTAGCACCTTCACTTGAACTACCGAATCTTGTATGCGATTCGAGAGACAATCGACCAATTGCGAGAAATAGGAATCCATGAAACTCTCGTGTTGTTGATCGTTGCACGCAATTGCTTGCTGCGCTGCCGTCTCCTCTTCGCCTTCCTCGCCCTCTTGCTCTTGCTCTTGCTCCTCCTCCTCCTCCTCCTCCTCTTCCTCCTCCTCCTCCTCCTCTTCCTCCTCCTCTTCTTCTTCCTCTTCTCGTTCCTCCACGGCAGCGTTCAATTCTATATCATTATTCTGCGAGTTGTTGTCACTATCGTCGGGTTTCTCGTAAACGACCTTGTCATAAATCTTCTTCTGGCCGGACACCGCGCCCACCACGGCCGGGAACATGATCAAATGCGGCGTATTTTCTGCCACTCGGCACAACAGCTCGGATACCTGAGTCCTCACGTACGCCTCGGGATGACTGAGCCTCGAAAACAACTGCGGTATAATCTCCTTCCATGGTGCGGTCGGGGTCGTCGAGAGACCGGCCTCAAGGACGTTTTGCAATTCCAGAGCGTGTTTCACCACGAGTCGCAGTAGTCTCAACGTTGCCGTGATGGTGTCGCACTCGTTGCTATCGTCGTTATTCGCCAATTGCAGATATTTGAAGTACGCGTTCGCCGAAAGTTCGTAATACGAATAGATCCTCTTCTGTGCCTGTCGCCAAATGTCGACCAGCATACCGAGATGTTCATTACTGACGTGACTTAGGACCGACACGTTCCTCAACTGAGTCTCTATCATATCGGATGTATTTATATCGTTCATGTCGATATCGCCCTCGTCCTCGGGTATTGTCTTATTCTGGCTTAATATAGAGAAAATTGTGTCGAGTTCAGTTTCGGCTATGTCCATCGGCAATAAGGACTGTATGTTTATCCGGTCGGTATCCGTTAATTGACCAGAATTGGAATTGTCGACGATCTTCCGGCCCCACTTGTAGCACCAGGCGGCGAAACTGGACCAGGCGCGCGGCAAGTCCGGACACTGATTCACGCCAAGTTGCATCAGTTTACCGATTATCATGTCCGACGTAGGAATCAGATCGATCGTCTCGCCAAACAGTTTGTCCATCAAGCCATCGTTGTGCATAGCTTCGAACCTGAGCAATTCCTCCAGCTGAGGATTTTCGTTCACGTTTGTGTCCTGCTGTATCCATTTACCTAGGGTAAGCAAGAGCTTGGTTCCCGTATCCCGTAAATCGGCCGACTGCTCGCCGCTGACGATCGCCTGCGAGATTCCCAGCGCGGTCACACAGCACATTCGCAAAGCCTCGTTCGTGTTCTCCATGTCATATAATAATTTTGATAATTCCCTGAACGCCCGCATACTGCTCTTGGTCCATTTCACATGGACAGGCCCATCGTTCAGCATGCTGCTTGTGATCTCGGTAAAAGTGCAAGCGGTCGAATTTTTGAGTCGAATCAAATCTTGCTCCGATTTCAAATACTTGACCATCTCTCGTTTCGCTAAATTAAAGTTGCCTTCTTTCCTGGCCGTTCTGATAACATGTAATCGTAAACTGTCCACCTCCGTAGAGCCGCTGTCGCACGTTTGCCCCAGATACTCGGACCACCACAAGACTTGCGTTAAAATACTCGAATTGATATTATTAACTTTATCAACCTTGTACAATTCGAAAACGTTCTTATTCTTTTTGCCGCGCGATAAATTCTTCAACCCCGTCGCGGAATACTGGAGCAGTATAGCGTCACTGAGATACTCCGACGGCATGTTTCGCAATCCGTCCTGCATCATCTTGGCCGCGACCTTTTGACATCTTTCGATAATCTCGCTGCCATCAAAAGAGTCGTCGAGGCCGTTCTCGCCGTTGGCGAGGCGAATCTTGAGCGCGACGTTCGTCAAACTGTTGCTGCAAGCCACCAACGTTTTCGCGCAGCTCCAACTACTTTTCTTCTCCTCGTCCAGTAGGTTCCAATTCATCAACTCGTCAAAGGAGACCAATTCGCCCTCCTCGAACTTTTTCAAACAATCCGCCTGCTGCGGAACGATGCTCTCGGTGATCTGCTGCCTTCTCAGGGCAGCGTAATTGTCTTGCGCCAGCATCTCGGTCTCTCGTGATTTCCATTCCACTAATCCGGACCAGTCGCTGACCGCTTTATAACAGTGGGAAAGTCTTTGCATGCAAAAGCCCAGCACTTGATTGTCGCTCTCGAGTCTCGCGGCGGCTCTGCAGCTCTCATCGTCGTCTTTCGAGATTTTAACATGAGCATGATCATCAACGATGATCTGCCTGTAGACATCCGTCGCTGACTCGTAACGTCCTGCGGCCTCCTCCATCGCCGCTTTCAGCCACGGAAATTGCCTGTCCTTGCTCCTGGTGTACACGTAGAGTCCCTGCAATGCCTCCGCTTCACCGAGCACGACCATCGCCTGTGCCGTCCACAATGTTGCCCTCTCGAACTCGATGCCTTGCGTATTATCGGCATTGCTCAGATCCTCCAGTAACCTCTGGCCGTTTCGCAGCGCACTCGTCGCCAGACCCGAGTGCAACGAGACCACGCACAAAGCCAATCGTATGCGATTCAGCCATTCCTTACACGTTGACTTGTTCGTATGGAAGAAGGTTCTCACCGGTTTTGACAGCGGCAAGAGCGCCATCGCGCAACCGTCGGCCGCATTGTGAATCGCCCTCTCCAGATGTTCCAGAAATTCGACGAAGAGCCGCACTCGCGTGTGCTCGTGCAAAATACGATCTAATCCCTGCTGCCTCTCCAATCCCTGCTGCCTCTTCACCACGTCGATCACATTGTGGCACGATATCTCGCGAGCTAGAATCTTCAGGGCGCTCTCGATCGAAGTAAATGTCTCCTGCGGCTTCCCGAGAGAAGTGCGAAGCTTGTTGAGGACGCAGTGTTGCGCCGCCTCGAAACCGCTCCAGAAAAACAGGAACGAACAATTAGCCAGCGCCAAAGCATACATCCTCGCCGTAGTTTCGTTCTCCGGTCTGCACACACACAAAAAAAAGACGCATGAACGTGTCGAACGTTATTTACGATATTAGAGAAAGAACGTGATCTCGCGGGTAGAGAGAGAGAGAGAGAACAATGAGTAAACTTACACGGCTGGCCAGCACAAAGTAAATATTTCCGACAACCCGGATGTATCAAGATAATGTTCTTGTAGTAGGAACGCCATATACGTTTTGAAATGTTGCGCCAGCAATTCCCCATTGTTGTTACCTCGCATGTGCAATCTTTGAGCGAGAATCAACGATTCTGTCGAATAAGTTACAATCTCTCGTACCTTCTATACAGTGGTCGCGGCGCAACATGAAAATTGATTTTTCAACATGAAATGAGAGAGAGAGAAATATTATATTAGACAGCATCGAGTAGCCTCGATGTAGAAAAATAGCCTCAGAAAGATTGACTGCACCTACCTTGGTGTCTGAAAATAAATACTGTTTGTTTAATTTCGATATGACAATATTAACGGGCATACACATTAGCAGGGCGCCGTATTTTTCGCAGATCCTTTTGTTGCACGAGGTCAAATGCAACATCGCTAGATCCACGATACTCGAATAAGTCTCTTGTTTCCACATGACATTCTTCGCGGTCATTAACATTTCGAAGAGATTGCATACCGCGCTTGCGATCTCGTCATTGGTCGTAGCGCCGCAATCGATTAAACTCGCAATGATACTTTGGCACTCCTGAGTTTCGCTCAAGATTCCGATATATTTTTCGGACTGTACGCAAATCTCTTGCAACCAAGTGGACAAAAGGAGCAAAGTGCATGCGGGCGTATTCTTGTTGTATGTCTTTGCTATCAAATTGAGAATTATAGACAAATGGCCACTGGCTGGTGACGTGGTTGGTACATCCAAAGTCCCGGGAAACATATCCATCGGGCGACAAACGGTGGTACCTGTTATCAAACTGGAGCTTGGAACGAAGTGGTTGTACCTGTTGTAATACACAGGCGTACACAAAAAAGTCATTGAGGAATTTTACATTATTATATTCGTTATATTCGCATTACTTATACGGATTGAGCATTGAAAGAAGATTAGAGAGTAAAGTAAGTTCATTTTACCTGGAACAATGTGAATAGAGCAGATGCAGAATATTATATTGCAAAAACGGACTCGCCGTAGACAGTGCAGTGTCGTATGGTTTTAACTTAACTGCGAGAAGTTCCAAGATACTGGGCTTCAAGGCCCACATTCCGATAATCGAATTACTTGCGTTTGCTAAAAAGATGTGAATATTTATACTTGTTGCGTTTATTTGCGCACGTATTTCGTAGTTAATTACAGCGGCGTGTATATGCTCACCTATGTCCGAAAGCGCACGTAGCACGAATGTAACTACAATCTCAACGTCACCTTTCGTGTATCTCAAATCGTTTAACGGATTGTCTACGACCAAGACAGCCATATCAGGTAGTATAAGCCTGTAAGCGATCTCCAAATCCGCTAATATATAGCGATAAGATTCCTGCAATAGTGGAATATTCTTCAGGCTTAGAAGACTGTGATATACCCCGAGACTCGCGTTTTGAATGGTAATGGAATTTCGGAATCTTAATTTCAGCAACGTCGAATTCTTGCCGAGCAACGTGTGCACCAATTCCAATGGTAAGTTCGCGGATACCTCCTTTATTATTTTTGATATGATGCCCAACATGGAAATAATAGTATCGTCCCAAAAAATATTAACTCTCTGTAATTGAAGATCGATAAATTTATAGAGGAGCTCGTGGTTCTTTGCTACGCGACTCTGAAGATGACCAAGGAGCAAGAAGGCGCATTCATTCGCGACTACGATCAATTCTTCCTTTTCTTCTGACAAGTTTTCAATCTGTTTCACTTTCGGTTCCATCGATCGCAATACATTCATTAGTAACTCTTCTTTTTCCTTGGACAAAGGCAAAGCGTTTTCTTTGTCAGAAGCTATTTTTTTAGAATTCTTCTTGTCATTTATCTTATTTATAGCCAGTGACTTCATCATCTTAATAAGATTTTCCTCGGTAATCTCGTCTTTACTAAAATATTTGGAAAGCATCTCGACATGTTTTTGCGACGAGCTCATGTTTCTTATATATTTCATCAAATTTTCCGTATTGACTATTTTGAGCCAAGTATCAGTTTCTTCTTCCAATTCGATCGTTTTAACAACGGTCTTTAGCATCTTCGATAAACAATTCGTTAGAAAAGACCATTGTACGTTGGGTGCAAGATTCGGATTTAAATGCTCGGCTATGCTCTTCGTTACTGTATTAAAGACGGATATTAATGATGTAATCCGCAGAATACATTCTCTCGGTGTCGGGGATCCGTCATCGCCAGGTGAAGTACGACCAGATTCGGGTAAATTTAATTCCTCGTCATAACTCTCCATATCCTCCAAGAATTGGCCTAGTAACGTCAGAGTAAACTGCAGGTCCGCTATCCAAAACGAGCGCAATTTTTGCAAACATCGGCTCGCGTAAACGACAACTGACTTTTGTTGCGTGGAATCAATGTGCCAACCCACAAGTATGTCTACCGTATCGCGAAAATGGTTTGTAAACGTCTCTGGATAGGAATCTATGATGAGTAATATAGCATCCACAGTCGCCACTAATAAGTCTGCTCTATCGACATTTTCTAATATTGATTGTACTTGAGACATCATCGGCTGTAATGCAAATACGTTAATTTTTTGTTAATATTCGTCGTTACATAAGGAAAAGCAAACAAATTATACACAAATTTTTTAATATGTTATTATATATTTACCACGGAGAATTCTTTTAATTTGGATATCTCAGAATCCATCTTAAGCGTCTCGATAAGTGACTTCATTAATAGGCATTTCACATCATCTTTATGCTCCAACGAGTATTTATTAAAGATCCAGTCCATATACCTAGAAATATATATATGTATGTACATATATATATATATATATATATATATATATATATATATGTACACACGAACGAACACACACATACACACACAAATCTTGTGATCTTTTGTATTTGTTAAATCACAAACACATAAATATTGACACACAGAACATGGCAACGTGATTGCCATGCGGCAAGATGTATGCAATGCAATAATCAACTTATCGCTTTTCCATAACAGTAAAAGAATCTTGTGTGCAAAAAGAGACCATATATTTTTCACATGTATTCATCTTGCTTGATTACTGCATACCTTTTAAAATCTTGTTCTACCACATATCCAATTCGCCCCAAACATTTTGCAACCTGCTGCTTTGCCTCCTGACTAGGACCAGAATGCAAGAAATCTAACAGACTTTCACAGATAGTCTCCAAGTTCCGTCGTATATATCGTTGATTTTCAGGTGCGACGATACCTTCCTGCACTTGTTTGCAAAGTACCATGAGATGATCATAATCATCTTCGCGACACAATCGCCGTAAAAGCTTGGAAATTCTCGAGTCCTCTATAAAATAAAGCAAGTAAGAAAATTTCTTTAAACAGGAGCACAAACATAAATATCACTCATGTACACGTAATAAATTACCATTTATTCTTTTATCGTCATAATATTTGCCCTGCGCATTCTCATGATTTTTCAACGATTCTTGAAACTTGGGTCTAGATGTAGAGTGATAGCTAGACTCTGAATTTGATTCGCGATCATTAAGTGTCTTTTTAAAAGCTCTCCCACGTGTTCCACCTCTGGCACGATCTGAAGAGCTGCCGCCACGCGCCATTCGAAATTCATTTCTTGGAACACCGCTAAGTCTGTCTCGCAAAAAACAAACATTTCATTGCAAATTATTATTCTTAATTTGTCAAGGATAAAAATATAATGGATCCAAAAAAGAAGAGAAAATGTTAGATCTTTACCTTGGCTTAAATCTAGCAAAGCTGTGATCTGAAGAGTAGTTGGAGTTTCGCTGACAAATGACCAAGGTGCTGCGTGGTACATTAAGGTCATTTACACTGTAATCACTTATCACGCCAATGTCCTCTTTCTCTATTTCCCCTCCCTGATTTATAGACTCGTCTTGAGTCTCGACACACTTGGAACCACGTAGCCTCGTGCTAGTATTAGAGTTCCCACAGCTATTCATTACATTACTCTGCAAGTGGTCTGCATGACCCACACTTTATATGGATGTATAACTTGTGGTGATCTGAAAAAAAAAAAAAAGATCATTAATTATGTAACTATCAAAGATAGATATAATTACATATCAATACATAGGCAATATAGTAATAAAAGTAATGTAGAAAAAAATGTATGATTATTTATAAACTCTTCTTTGAATTATGCATTGTTCTCATTTATATATTGTAAGCGTACACACGTATATACATGTACATATTATATATGTATTTGTGTGTATGTGTACATTTTTATATACATATATATATATGTACTATACAAGAAAATTAATAAAGTATACACATGCGTTTGTCTTTTAATCAAAAATCATTTTTCTATTGTATTTATTAATATATAAAGTACTGATGCAAGTACGAGATAGTTACATCAGGTCAAGTGCAAAATTACGTGATTGACAGATATTCTTAATTATATACATATAAAATCTATCATCTCACATTAGGTTATCAAAAAACAATACAATTTAAAATGTTCCATATTGCTTTCGCTAGGTGTACCATATCAGCTTTTATCACCATAAAAGAAAACAATTGTTTTTCAAAACTAAGACTATCTGGAAGGTTATAGCATGGTAAGCAACTTGTGTCATTAATTTCAATTTTCTCTTTTGTAACGATTAAGATTACTGGGCATACTTGATGCCCAATATTTATCGTTAAATTTTCTAAAAATCATGAAACCCATGAAATCATGAGTGAAGCCTACTTCTAGTTCGAATCTTGGCGAATTTATAAAGCATTGATCGCATTCTTGACTGTACGGTGTGTTGACGCGGTCTTTCGTGTGCAAGCAGCATCTGTTGCTGATAACGCGTTACCCTCCTTCTCCTCGCTCCTGAAATTCTAAGAAAAGCATTTCAATTTACAAAAATTACTTGTTACTCTTACCGATCTCGATTAAATCTCTAAGTGTGAATGAACAATTGGCTGTGCAGAATCCGAATAAGGCTAGCAAACTTGTCGCTTCGTATTATCTCGCGAAGATACAAATGCGAAAATACAGACTTGGAGGTTATGAGAGGGCACATTCAATGACTGCCACAGATTTTTATCCTCTAGATTGTCGGTGTGCAACTGTGCACGTATTGTATGTACTACATACACACATATACATTTCTTCTAGAGAATTTTCATTTCCGTTCGATTCGGCCGAAAAGGGCGAAAAGTGGAGGAGAGTAGAAGCTTAAGCTCTCTAAAAATAAAATAATTATCTGTTTTCTCGATCATCAATGATAATATTTTATCTGATATCTTATCTCGCTCTTAACCGTCGTAGTTAAGCGTGATTTCAATGAATTTCAAGCCTACATATATATTCCACAAACTGTAAAAATTTTCCTTAATAACGTTTTAAATTTATTTAGCTAAAGTTACACGTGAAACAGCTCGGCATTGCTAGGGAATAATATAACATGTTGATCCACGCAATAACCAATCGCTACTTCGTTTTCTTTTAGAAGAAATCTGAGTGGCTCCTGTTGAACGATTGGCTACTGCGTCGTATGTTGCCGCGGCATCTGAAGAGGATTGGACAATTTAGTGCTGCGCGAAAGATTAAGGCCGCCTACAATGAAAGTATGTAGTAAGGACCTATCCAAACAAACTTACATAGCTGCATAATCATATGCATTTAAAAAATTATCGCATTTTACGTGTGTTTTTGTAATTGAATTGAATCGATTGAATAATTTTGCATGCAAGTTGGTCTGGGGATAGGCCCTAAGGGAGAGGATTCACATTTACGCATGGAAAGGCAGAAACCAATCAGAAGTTGCATTTAGCTATGTATCGAGTACTAGCAAGTGTAGCACTTGGTAGCAAAATGCAATTTTCTGATTGGTTTTCTGTATAGATATTCGACTGGTAATATCAATTCTATTATCCCCGGGGGGCACACTTGAGTTTAAAGAAAAATTTGTCTTTGGCCGTTCGTCTTTAATAATACCTCGTCGGCGTCGACGGTTAACCAACAGCAATGCCAACAGCAGTTTGAATAATTTGCCAATAAGTAGATTAAACTAAACCAAGCTAAATATAATTCTCATTTCTCTACTAGCTCGATTCGCGATAGGTTTATTTTATAATGTAAAATTTTGCATTAAAAATTAATATCTCTCGATTTAATATAATTTTACTAATCGAAAAACTACATCCCTTTAGTTGATTTATTAAAGTTTATTTCTATTCCTTTTGTGCAATCTCGTGTTACAAAAGGATAATATATCTCTCTCTCTCTCTTTCTATGGATGAATTTATTTTGAATAATGGAAAGAAAGGACAATTTTTTTCAATTTAGCACGCAAGATCCAGAATCGTACGCTAAAAATAAATCACGACTATGTTTCATATTCTGAACGCATTACACAGAGAGTATTAATGAGGCTCAGGTCGTCCTTTCTCATTTTCTGGCTGTACGTCAGGTGTGTGCGGCCAAACTGTTGGTTTATCAGGGTTTATAGCTAATTCTGGATAGGCGTCTCGGAAATCTTCCATCGTCATCTCAGAGAATGGCAACAAATTCTTTACTCTATCAATTTCCTTGTTGGCAGCAGCGATGCGTTGATTTGATGCATTGATAAATTCCTCGATTTTAACATGCTATAATATATCTTAGATTTAGAAAGATTTAGAGCTTATAAGACATAATTTATAATTACATTATATGTAAATACTGTACCACTTCCTTTTCTTCAGCCTCAACTTCAGAAGTATATCTATCCACTGGATACGGCACTTTAAAAGATTCGTATTCCTTTTGAAACTTATCAACTAATCCAAGTATTGGAACATTTTGCTTATAGTGTGCCCAATCGATTTTTGGAGGAGCTTCTGGATTTACGTTCATTCTATATACATGATAAAGAAATGTAAAAATTATATATTTTCTTATTCATGATATTAATTTAACGTATTATGTAAAAAAAAAGTCATTTTTATATTGAAATAATGTGATACGTGAGTAAAAGAATTTCATGAATGTTTTATAAAAGGCTAGATGCATTTTGATGTCTTAACATTTTAACAGATATAAAATGAAAACAAATTAATGTTCTTAGAGGTTACTCTAGTAACGACAGAGCTTATGCGTAGATAGTTAAAATTACATTCTTGACAAATTTAAAGAGTCTTTTATCCGAAATAAATATTTTCTCTTCCACAGTATTTGTATATTTAATTACAGAAATATCAAATATCTAAAAAAAGTTTTTCTCGGAATCTCTCAAGAGATTGCATATTATATAATGGCTTATGTGCAACGACACGAATCAAATCCCGAAGAAGGCGATATTCACTAACCGTCGCAAGTGTTGATCAGATTTAGCTTTAAAAGCGGCGAATGCAGCTTTTTCCGTTTCTGGAATTTTTTCGGCGAGCGCCGACCAATTGATCGCCTTGATCGCCCTGCGTGACATTTTAGCGTATGGTTCGACACTCTGTCCTGACCACTGTCACACACACTGTCGATACGGACGACGTCCGGTACTCTTTCTTCTAGCTGTGCAGGCTGTGTGTGCGCTGTCGCTGTGAGCGCTGCCGAAAGGTTAGGAATGCTAGGATCATGATGAAACGCGATAATCGATCGCGCTTGAATCGATATATCGAAAGAGAGTAACAATTATGGTTCGTTATCTCTTCTCTCTCACATATTTGGCATTATACATATTATTTTCGCAATTAATCTCCGTCCAATCATTTGTCAGTATCAGGTCCGATGTGTTGTAAGCGTCGTAACACTCGTAGCGTGGCATTACATGGAAACGCTCATTGTGATGAGAGTTTTTTTTATAGGCAACGGTGGAGCGGGTGGAGTAATCGGAGTAACGTCGGTCATAAAAGTCGGCGTTGAATCACGTCACGGATGGCGCGGGGAGCGTTGCGCGCTGCATCTCGTGGTCGCGGCGTGGATCGATAAAATAGAATGGCCGGTTCGCGCGCGGAAGAGAAACGGAGAGGGAAAACGCGTGTATGTATGTACAAGAAAGATCAGACAGACAGGGTGGGTAGTAGCTAGAGTGGTGAGTGGGTGGAGTGGGCGGCGGTGGCGGACAGCGGTGGCGGTAGTAAGCGATGGTGCGGTGCGGCGCGGCGGCGGTGGCGGCGGCGAGCATAAAGAGGATAGGATAATATCGGTGCGCGTCGGCGTCCTCCCGCGGGATCTCGTATCCGGCGCAGCCTCTCGTAGCCGCGATCTATACGATGTAGTTATGCCGAAGAAGGGCACGCGGCATGTGAGGGAGTTGGGGAATACGAAAAGTACCCAGCAGCGGCAACAACGTCAACAACCAGCAGCAGCAGCAGCAGCACCACCACCATCACCACCACCACCACCACCACCACCACCATCATCACAGTCACCGCCGCCCGGTGCGGCGACAACCGTCTCGGAGGTGGCAACAGCGAGACACTTTCGCAGCGTACATATCGGTCTGACCAACAGCAAGCGTTGGCTGTCGCTGAAGAAACGCCTGGGCCTGCCGACGGACGAGGATGTTGCGGTGTACTTGCTGGACCTCGCCGAGTCAGTCGCTGTCACTAGGTACGTTTCAGTACGTTTCGATGGCGTCATCGCCGCTGTGTTATTGTTGCGAATGTCGCGATCATAATCGCCGTGCCCGTCCCGACGACGATGCTGTTGTTTTGCCGATGCAGCAGACGCGTTGCATCGTTTCGCATAAATCGCTGAGCTGTCGTCTGTCGACATTGCGGCATCGCGACTCGCGTACGGGCCACCCGATCCCGAGGCCCCCGACAAAGCCAGTAGCTATCTGTCACATGTTCCTTCGGTGCTTTGAGCTTTCCCCCTACTCTCAGCGAAAGCGTTTTGTTGAATCGCCATCTTGCGGGGCGATGTATGGTTGGCGAGGAGGGCGACGCTGGCGCGTCGCGTCTGAAATCGATCGATACCGCTGTGTTATGATAGATGGACGCACGTTTTGAAAACGTGCGCAAAAACGAAAAGCGACATTCGCCTAATAATAAGGAAAAATAAATGGTAATAATTTTCAAGTTTTTGACTTGAATTGTTTCTATCGAGAAGAGAAAGAGAGAAATATGTTTTTTACTGTTAGAGAATAAAGTTAATAAAGTTCTAATTTTGGATAAACATATTTGCCCGTCCAATCTCTCAATTTCTAATTTATTTATGATGAAACTGACATTTGATATCACGACTCTGACAACATTTGTATAAAAGATGTTGAAAGAAATACAGACTCTAATATATATGAATTTTGTTATGCGCATGTAGGCAACAGGGTAAATGCAATGGAGCAGAGGATTGGAAGACGACGAATCAAGATCATAGCGATCGGGACGAGAGAGCTATCAAGGTTGAAAGCTCGGATAAGGAAGATGATGATGACGAGGAGGAGGAAGAGGAGGAAGAGGAAGAGCAAGAGCAAGAGCCCGTTCGCAGAAGTTCGAGGAAACAAACTCCTGTGTTAAACAAAGGTGTGCGACTTGATTCTTCTTCCTGTACGGTAAGCAAGAGCGTATCGGACGTGCTGGACGATGCGATCAAATTGCACGTGCGACGCAGTTCGAGGTCGAAGCATCACAAGAACAAGACGAAGCATCGCAAAGATAAGCGGAAGAAACGACGACGAAACTCAAAGAACGGCGTCGAAGATAACGGCGGCGGCGGCGGCGGCTCCATTGGAGTAGACAAATTCGAATGTACCAGTGAGAATGCATCGTATTCGCGAAACGATTCGGCGGAGAGTAGAGATTCGAGTAATCGCAAGATGACCGTAATCAATGAATTAGATACTAAATTAAAATTAGATGTAGAGAGCTTTGGAATCGATACAAAGGACGTTGAATCCCCTACGACCAAGACTGATCACGTAGATAGTATAAGAATTCGAAACGATGTAAATAGTTTGGCGAATAACGACATCACCACCACGTACAAGATAAAAGCGATTGGTGTACCTGGCGATTTGACGAGGGATACCTTTGAGAATAATAAAACTACCAAGCTCCATTTTGACGATACCATAGTGTCGTCTCTTCCGAAGCAGCACACGTACAACACCGAGGATTTGAACAAGGACGTAGAATATTTATTGAATCCTGTACCCAATGTCAATGACAACGGCACAGTCGAGACGGCCGTCGAGAACGCAACTGAGAAGAGAAACGAGGCTAGGATGATGCGTTGCACAGACTCGCACGAATATAAAAATGCAACGTTCTGCGATGCATCGAGGAACGGCGAATCCAAGGATGCGGAGGCTGATCGCAAGCTGAAAAGAAGACGGAAACGTCCTCGTCGTGATGCGCAAATCGAAGAAAATTCCGCAAAGGATCTCACCGAGAATAATTCCGCTTTAGATTCCGCGTTAGAGGCGACGGTATTTAAACATCGACGAAAAAAGCACAAGCATACAAATGAGCACAAAAGCAAAAAACATCACGACGTACGAAAGGCGCCGCAAGACGGCATCGTTGTTGTTCGAGAAGACGCGTGTCCACCGGAGGCGGCTGAACAGCTGCTATCCTCGACGGCAGGATCAGGATCTAGCAAGATCACCGAGGATGGCAATGAGAACGGAAACGGTGACGATGATCCTGAAGCGGGCCTTGATGGTCTTGACGGTACTACCAACGGCGCAACCGACGACGTCGCGTCGTCAGCAGAACCACAAAGACTCGCGATCAAGATCAAACTCTGCCAAGAATGCAACAGCCGTCATTTGCAGGACGCGTGCCCTTTGACGACGTCGCAGTACGCGATAGCCGACGCGATTTTTTACGAGCAATGGTTGAGTAGGCACAAGGAGAACGCAGAGATAATGAAAGCCATCACGTCGGAGGACCCAATGTCGGAAGGTTACGGCAGATTAGCGTACGACGGCTTCGAGTCGGGTGACGAATCGCCAACATCCAGCGAACAATGCAAGGCCAAACCGAAGGTGCAGAGAGAGGAGAAGCAGCTAGTAGTAGAGATAGATCGACCGCTGTATGCAAGGGATTCTCTGCCGGATTGTCTCGAATTGAAGATCACTAATACCGATCACGGTCTCGGCATCTATGCCAAGAACCCGCTTCCGATATACGCCAAATTTGGTCCACTTGTCGGTATATCGGTTAGGGAAATGGACATTCCGGATGATTTTTCTATGCGCCACATATGGGAGGTATTTTATCATCATTTGAATTTTTATTGGAATTTCGATAATCTTATTACATTGTAACATTAGCATTGACATTGCAGCGTTTGTATTGCAAAAGTAATTTTTATGAGAATAAATCTTTATCTTTCTTTTTTTCTTTTCAGATAGATAATAATGGAAAGAGTACATATATTAGTACTACAAATCCATTAAAAAGCAATTGGATTCGATATATTAGACCAGCCGAGACGAAGGAGAAGAGAAGCATAGCGGTAATCGCTAAGCATGGCAAATTATATTTTGTTACAACTCAGAATATAGCATCAGGGATGGAGCTCACTTATTGGGTAGAGTCACAATCTTCCACGTGGACGAGAAAAAATAAAATCAATAAAACGAGTACGTATATATGTATAGATTTTTTTCAGCTGCTGAAGGAATCAAGTTAATTAACTAATTAATTGTCTCTCTCTCTCTCTCTCTCTCTCTCTCTCTCTCTCTCTCTCTCTCTCTTTAAAACTAACAGACTCTGTCATGCTTTCAGATTGCGGAGGATGCAACCTTATTTTCGCACATTCGATATATTATCGATTGCACTGCTGCATCTTTCACGACATGAATTATAGTTTAACGATAAGAAAATATCATTGCAAGGTACTTAACGTTACACTTAACTGTCGTGAATATTTTAAATAAACAATTGATTGTGTTCTTTAACTTACAAAAATGGACTATTCTTTGTTCTCTGTTAGGTTTGCGGTGCCACAGTGCTCGGCAAGGATAACATTATGAAACATGCAGCAGAGTTGCACGAGGGTCGCGGCGCGTATCAGTGTCAATATTGTAAAAAGTTTTTCTTAAGGCTGAATTACTTAGAAATGCACCGAACTTACGGATGCTCACAGAATCCACATCGAGCGCGACCGTTATGCGATTTCTGTGGCCGTAAATTTTGTCAGCCACAAAAACTAAAAGTACACATCAAGAGGATGCATAGCGGTAATAGCGCGCACAATCGATTTACATTGTATTTTTATTTTTGTCTTCCTTATTTATATATTTACGCGCAACATGTGCACGCGTTTTTGTGCAGATATGGCCGAGGTGCTTAGGGAATTTCAGTGCAAGTTGTGCTTGAAACTATTGGGTTCTCGCGCGGCTTTACAGCGGCACATGAAGGAAGTCCATCACAAAGACGTTATTGCCGCAGCCACGTGCGATCGATGTGGGAAAATGTTCCAGAACAAAAGTAATTTGAAGATTCACATGCTGACTCATAGCGGTGTGAAACCATTTAAGTAAGTTTCTTAAACTATGTTATATTATTTTTTTTCTTTTACGTAATCAGTGAGTGACCATTCATGTGTTATGGCTGCCTATCTTCTGCGCTATAGATGCAAAGAGAACGGCTGTAAGGCAGCTTTCACTACGAAGCAATGCCTACAGTTCCATTACAAGAAGGTGCACGGTCTTTCGGAGGAGATGATGCCCAAGATTGAGAGGTCTGTGGCGTACACCTTTGACGCATACAGCGGTGGCCTCGTTGAGGACATGCCTTGTGGAAGAATCATTCACTGCAACAGAAGAAATTCTTCACAAGTAAGCTACTCGTTATATATAATCCTATAGGCAATCGTACATATCGTAATATTTAGCAAAGGGTCTCTCTTCTCATTATGCATCCTCTTGTCTATCGAGCAGGACAATAGCAATAGTTTACCGTCTCTGGACGACTGCAGCTCGGAAAGTAATTTAAAAGTCGAGACATCGACACCGGTACCAGCATCGGCATCAGCATTAGCATCGGCACCGTCAACAACACCGACACCGGCATCGATATCGGAATCAGCAACGGCGTCAACATCAGCATCGGCACCCATATCAATATCAATATCAGTATCAGTATTGGCATCAGCATCGACGGCAGCAGCGATGGCAAATTCTGCTCACAACGTCATTGTGGATTCATTACAAAGTAATGAGGCAAATTCTACAGTGAAATATAAGACGGAACAACAAGAGTCTCAGATACCGAGTATGCAAACCGCAACCAGTGAACTTGATGCAACGACGATGGATAATGGACAGACGGAGGTCGATCTATATGACACATCGAGAACACATCTGATCAAGAGTAGCAAAAAGTGGCTGACTGAATTTAATCCGCCGCCTACTTCCGACATCGCTGTTCATTTACCGGCGGTCTCGGCGCCGTCTTCTGACATTTATGATTTTGAAGACAGCAGAAAAGATAGTGGTAGCGAGAAAGCGGTTTCGCGTACCAGCGCGACGGTGCCGAATTTGATGGAAAGCAATAAATTACGATTGAACGTGTACCGCAGCAGGACGGAAGGCGCGAGTTTGCTGGTTGAGGCGGCCCTAGATGCCGCCGAGAGGGACATAGGAACGGTGTCCAGCCCGATCTTGGAGGACAACGATCGCGAGACCAATCTCTACTCTATCTCGAGCCAATTGCAATCCCCGATACCGCAATCGCGATCACCGAATCATTTAGACTCTTATATCGTACAGCAAGAGGAGGAACTGATTTCGCCCGCACCAACCCCGGACGACCGGGGGCACACTCCTCCTAGCCATTTACACGTGGATTATCACTTACATCGACCTGCGGTCGACTACATCAACACCTCGCGAACACATAATATCGAGCAGTATCTGCATCACGAGGAACTGCCGCGTGTTTCTTCACCGAATTACATACACATGCAGCAAGAAGACTTGGTGTCGCCGTCAGCCACGCCGAATCATCGTTATCAGGACGTGCATCACCATCAGGTGCCAACGGATAATCTCTCGAGCGACGAGGGTGACTCGGTCGCGCAGAATCTTAGTTTGTCCGTGAAGGAGAAGGCGTTGCAATTGGATCTCTCGACATCCTACAAGTACGACTCGCTCGAACAGGATTTCACGCGGGAGAGATCCAATTTTGAGCCATTAGTGCTCAACAGTGGTGAACTTCAGGGTTTAGACATGTCAGCTCGGGGTTTTCACCACAATTTTGGCGGCCAGATGCAAAACACCCGCTATCATCATCACCATTTGTATGACATCGGCGAGCGACAAAGTGTGGACCTCAGCAGAACGGGCAGTTACTCTATGTCGCCACCCCCGCCACCGCCGCCACCTTATCCGCACAACGAAGTTGTGCGAGTGGTCAGTTTGGATCTCACTCCTGGCGGCAGACATAGTGTCGATTTGAGTCTCTCTCGATCACATCATCTGCATGGATCTGCTACTCGTGTTATCACCAGCCCACAACCAGGCTCGACTACGACGCACGTAGTATCCGATGCCGGAGAAGGTCGAATGCTGTCTCCACCTCCACCTCCCTTGTCTGGATACAATCCCAGTTATCCCGTAAGTCCAACTCCGTATCATCCTCCGAGATCCGGCTACCACCATTATCCCGGTTATTATTGATCATCTTTAATGAATATCGCGACGGTTTGTACATTCGACGTCTTCTCGATAACTTCTCGTTTTATAGATCCCCGGTCTTCGAATCCCGGTCCTTTTATTATAAGTACTTTATTTTTATCATACTCTAAACAAGTAAACAACTTTACTTTGTGATCATAAATTATTTAAATTTACATTGTTTTATATCTCGCGACACGCTCGTATCGCAGGCGGGAACTGCCATTTTCATACGTTATAAAAAGCAGCGCAAAGTTATGCTTTATTCTCGTGATCAATTTAATATTTAAGATGGTGATAATGAAAATTTTGGCATGCACAATTGAAAAAGTTAGAAAAAGAAAAACAAAGCTTTTCGACTTAAGAAGACGATAAAAAAAATCAATATCTCGTACGATAGACGGTCGTAACACTGTAATTTAATGCGATAAATGCACAAAAGTGTACACGGTACATTTCCACGAAGATTCAGATCAGATGTTATTTTTTTAAAAAAAAATCAAGTAGCACGAGATTTTACGCAGAAAAATCTATTCCAGCATGATGGAGTATCTATAGAGGAAAGTTCATTTATCCGTATTTATATAGCTGTTAACTTGTTTTTCGTTTACCCTTCTCCAATAAGCTGTGTATGCAGAGCATGCATGACGTATGATGAGTACATCGTTTTATAGAATGATCGTTAAAGAGAAGGGCAGGAATAAGGAAAAGGAGAAGGATACAAAAAGGTAAGAAAACAAAACAGAATTATGTCGTAATCCAGTGCCACGTCCGTGATAATTAAGATTATTGAAAAAGTTGTTACCTCTTAGCTTATATTCTTCTATTTCGGACCTATACTCTACCGAGGAATAATACTCCATTTTAACGTGGCTTTGGTGACAGCAGCATCCCAGAGCAGCATAATTTTCGCAAAAATTACGCGATTAAAAATTTAAAAAGCAAATTAAATTTTTTCACGAAGAAAAAGAAAGGATTTAAAAGATGTCCCCGCATATACTAGCAATATTTTACTAAATTGTATAAATTCTATTTAAACACATTCTTTAACAATTTGTAAATAATAAAATCATTTCGAAATGTGTATCGTGTTTTTTTTCCCGTTTACAAACAAATCGTTTGTAAAGTATGCGTCTGTGTGTGCTATCTGGGATGCTCTAATATTTGTGAAATTTGTCAAGTTATCAAAATGCCTAACGCGGTAGCTATAAGTATATCTTTGCATGGTGATAACAGATTGTAATGTTTGTTTTTATCTAGTCATTATATATTAGCAAAGGTGGATTAGCCATAAGTTACGATGAGTATTTCAGCGATCGCAAATAATTTGTCCAAACATGTATTTACATGTATTACATGTATTTTATCGTGAATGCAAATTCAAACTTGTATGAATTTTGTTTAAAATCTTACGTTTTTTCGCCGATTAATCTAGTAAGATTAGTGATATGAACGTATTCCATTATTGAAATAAAACGCAACGTTTTACAAGTTCTATTTTATGAAACTGACATAATATTATATTATGTTTCATTAAACTTGTAGACATTATTTACGCTTAAAAAACATGCGTGCGATAGCGATTGCATTTCTCAAAAAAGGGAAAATGCGCGCGCGCGCGCGCGCGCGCGAGCGTGTGTGTGCGTGTGCGTGTGCGTGTGTGTGTGTGTGCGTGCGTGCGGGCGTGCGTGCGTGCGTGCGCGCAATATCGATGTATTTCACGCAAATGTGCGTATGAAGGCGATACGATTTATAAGGTCTCCTGCAAACGCGTTAATTTTCGCTTCCAGATTTCTGGATTTACTCTCTTTAGCAATTTATCGAAACCAAAGATCTAAAAATATTGTAACTCTTGTGCCAAATCGAAAGGCGCTCATTGTTATATTATATTATTGTATACATGCAACTTTTAGCAAAACATAGCCATTAAAGAGAAGGCAACGCGCGCGTAATGTCTGTCACTTTTGCCATACTTTTCATTGGTTATTATATGTTCAACTATAGGTATTTCACCCGCGTGAATAGTTTTACAATTATTCTAATTGTAAGAATATTTTGTTAATTTCTTTTATGTAGTTTTTTTTTACAATGCTTCTGCCATTAAAGAAAGTTACCATTTCATTTTTATTTTAATCGCGTCGATTTTTATTTAAAATACATTCGCGCTTGCGTTTTCATTTTTTTTGTCATCATAATTTGTGCAGCATAATGTAAGGACAACAAACGATATATCTATTAATATATATGTATGTATATACATATATACACACACACACACACACACACACACACACACACACACACACACACACGCACACACACATATATGTATATATATGCGTGTACATGACAAAAAGAAAAATTCAAAAGAAATGTTTACGAGTACAAAATGTGGCACAGACTATATTTGTATCAGGTTTATCGACATTAATATTGTAAGTTATATTAATAGAATATGGCAATGATTAAGCAGAGAGATGTATTTTCTTTCATCCAAAATTATCTTTTTTATAGACGGATTTACTGGAATATTAAAAGATGCATTAAATGTTTTCTTCTCCAAATCTCGCATTCTCGAGTGGATTGGAATGATTCTCCGTGTGTAAAACAATTATCGCTTACTGCTACACATAAATCTAAAACGTAAATATATGCGTACATAAACAAATAATATTAAAAAAAAAATTTGAAAGAATTAATTGTTTTACGGGACTTGAATAAAAATGACTGCAGAGTATACACAGAGGACGGGAAACAGATAAAGTAGAATAAAAAATCACGATCAGTATATTTGTATATTTGCAATATGTAAAGATGAAGCATATGGAAAAAGTAGTTATTGCATGTTAATAATGCAGCAATTGCCAGTTAGAGTTTACTGGATCCATCGGAGGCAGATTGGCTAGGTTTTCGCCTGTTTCGTTTTAGCGTCTTCCGGTAATGATAGGGGCGGAATAGGCGGCCGACAGAGCGGGATAAGCGGAATAAGCCAATGGCGCAGGTGCAGCTGCTACATATGGGGCGGCTATGGCATGATTAATAGCGTGTGCGTTGTAACTCGTGGCGTAGGTTCCGACTGTCAAAGCTGCTGGCACTGCCGCCGGAATCGTTGAAATCGCTGGAATTACTCCGGCAGAGCAGACGGTCACAAAAGCGCCAACGAGAATCTGCAAACATATAAATTCGGAATAATCGAAAAAACAATTTGCAGAGAGAAACTCTATTATTTCATATAAATATGCGAATGTCATTAAGAGTCGTATCATGGTCGTGTCTTGGCGCGTACAGAATACGCGCAAAACCGCGGCGGTATTAAATAGACGGACACACGTATGGTATAATTAATTGCGGAGAAATTTTCAAAGTTACGACTTTTATTCTATGTAAAAAAATTATGTAAGATTATATTATATATGGAAGAAAATGTATATTGAAATATCTTTTGTTTGGTTTAAATATTAGAGCGAGAAAAATACATATATTCGAAAATTTATCGAAAATTAGATATTGATCGAAAGATTAATTTCTCTTCTTATTATAAATTATTATAATAAGGACAACAACAAAAAATATCTTTATAATGTATTGAATTATTCACGAAAACTCACAAAGATTTTGGTCATCATTTTAACCGCGGTAACCGGCGTAAGTGATTGTCTCGCTGCAAAAACTGCGATGCCTATTCTCGATTACTCCGTGTCTTTTATATACATCGTGCCTTCTCTTACGAGAACAAAGACTCTCTCCCACCGTGATCACGATTTATTGTACAATTCGCGCGCGCGGAGGCACATCCGGAATAATTTACTATGTGCAGATCCGTTTTTGGATTTCAGGCCATATTTTTTATTATTACTCAAGTACTGATATGGATTTTGTCTGTAAGATATATAACTCTTTTTCTCTCTTATACGATATATACAAATAATAATATTTGTGTGTATGTACACATAAACGCGCGCTCGCGCGCTCACAATGTGTATACACACAATGTGTAAATTATAATTAATTATTCTGCATAGATAGATGAGATACAAGCCGCGTTATGAATCAATAACGCTGCATATGTTGTATTATAATTGCAGTGTTAGCTGTTATTGAGCAGATAATTTCGTGTTTTTTTTTTTACGATTCATTCTTTTACTTTTTAAAGGTAAAACAAAATTATTTATGCTTAATTATTATTTTTTCCAAGTAATATCTAATATGTCATATTCTTGTTTCTCTCAAAGATGTAATATTTATTTATTTATTATTGCTCTCTATTTTATTTCCTATAAATAATCAGTATAGGTATACATATACGCGCGCACGCGCAATGTGATTCCGTGATTTAAGATAAATATATTTCATTCTTTTCATTCAAAAAATGATAATATGTTCTCGCAAAACGGATCTCTTTTCCGATCGGCACATTTCTTTGTGAAGATATCAAAAGGGATAGAACGGCTGGGATCAACGATCGATTCATGCCCTCGAACGGATGCTTTATGCAAACGATCGCCAGAATTTGTTTTTGCCGTGGCGTCGTCGTGGCGTGCGATCAGAAGGGGATCAGAAGCAGGATATGTCTTCCAAGGTTGCGAGATTGCGATGTGGCTGAGCGAGATTCGAGTTTCCAACTAGGTTGCTGCCGCTCGCTCGAGTTTAATCAGGTTGAAGGCTTCCGATGCACGCATATCTCTTCTTGTCCCGTTCATGCGTCGCACAACGCGATTGTCTGATCTGTGTAAAAAACTGGTACTCGAGGATCTCGCGAGTACCAGCGAATCCTTATTCTTATCTAGCGATATTTCTTCGACGCAACGCGATCATTCAATCATTCGGCGACGATCGCTTTCGTTTCGGCATCTGCTCGATTAGCCATGCGTTCCAACGCACTTTCTTCGGCTACGTACGTGCGGCCACTTGCTGAAGAAGTTACGTTACGTAAATCGTCAAGTATCTACATTATCGATGCGCAACCCAGAATGTCGCGATCGAAAATCGCGACCAGATTCGTGATGACGACTTTGCGGGCACGAATCGAGAATATTTCGAGAGAATCATCGTATATAACTCACCGATATATCGCGAATTAACAAATTCATAGATATTTAAGATATCGATCAAGTTAAATGTTTATTTCACTCAAAATATATATTAGATCATTGGATATTAATGGCAGTAAATTATACATAAGAAGAACAAAACAAACGTACAAATATGTAAATATATATTGAAGACTGACAATGAGCTAGTAATGTCGACATATTTTTACATTTCTTAAGATAAAAAAATTTTGATGATACATTCTTGAAGTGTAAAGACATAAAAATTGGCGACAAAAGATCTAGCTGTCTTTTCTATCTCTGAAACCATATACATATAATAACCTTGATAGAACGATGGGTTGAATCCCACAAATCGCTTGTTTCTGTGTCCGAGATATCTGCCCAATCGCAATTATGTAAACGAGAATGGCGCGGAATGGGTCGTTACGTAATCCTCCCCACCTAGATACGTGATCGAATACAATGTATGGCAAGGTTGCGCGATAGGGAAAATGATTACGTGAAACGCGTCCAGATCGCCTTACGGCTACTGGCTGACAATTAGCGAACAGCTCTATTCGTATATTAGATCAAATTAGCAATCGTATAGAGTATATACTCTTCCATCCTTGGATTCATACACGTTCCGTTTCATCAATCCGCGAATCTTGCTTTCTATCTTCCTCTCGCAAAATCTATCAAGATCTCGCGTTAGATAGTATATATCGAATCAATCCTTGCAACGTTTTTTAATTGATGTATGCACAAAGAGATAAAAAATAACATGTATTTCAACCCTATCTAACGTCAACGTATCTAGTATAAGTATGTACATATAAAGAAAAGATATGAAAAAGAAGAAAATCTTTGTCAAATCGATGTTAAAAATTATATAAACTCTCGAGAGTATATTCCGATAGTTTTTAACATCCTGCGTGTGGATGCGTGAGATTTGAAGAAGGTAGAAGGTGGAAAAAATTCAAATAAAATTGATTCTTAAAAGCACGTTTGAGCAACATTAGTGGAGATAACGTCGCTATTTCACTAACTATTAATCGGAGGTCGTTGAACAATTGTTGCGAATTAATGACGAAAACGTCAGTCGGCGTGGAAAGGAAAACCACTTGACGATGCTCGTCGTGCTCTTCGAGAGAGAGAGTCGTGCCAAGAAAGAAAGAGAGAAAGAGGCGCGGTTCACGCATCGAGACGTGGTGCTCGTTAACTAGGAGGTAGAGGTACTGATGGCCTCGACGAAGTGCCAGTTGGGGGTCGAACAAAGCGCTATAAAGGCTTTTGCTTTTTCATTCGAAAAGCAGAATCTTTTCTTTCCTCGCTTCGAGTAGCACTCTCGATATTAAACCATTCAACATGTTCAAACTGGTGAGTTTCTAACATTGAAATCCTCTATCAAGTATTTTTAATTGTCTTGATATAATAATGTAATTCATCAAGTATTTTTCATTTGAATTTTAATGATTCTTAATCGCGCTCAATTATCATCGTTTTACATTCTTTACAAAAAAAATCCACTATAGAGTGTTTTCTAATTCTACATTTCAGAAATATTTTTTTGTAAAATTTAATATATATATATATATATATATATATATATATTAAATTTTATATATATAACAATTTTTGTGCATGTTATTGACAAATAAACATTAATGAATTAATGTGTTTCTATCTCTCCTCTATTTTTTCACTACGTCGTCATGATGTTGGTCAATGAACATATCATTCAATTTTTGTAGTGCATTCTTTCCGTTCTTCTGACTATCGTATGCTCTGCACCTGCCCCTGTGCCGGGAGCGGTTTTGGCGGCACCCGCGGCTGCAATCGCAGCAGTGCCAGCGCCGATTGTGACGGCCAGTAGCAGCCAAGTGGTCGCCAGAAATTACAACACGCTCGCCGCGGCTCCTCTGGCTGCAGCTCCGATCGTCTACGCACCGACGCCTCTAGCAGCTTACAGCACTCATGCCATTGCACCTGCTGCATACACTGCCTATTCCGCTCCAGTTCTACTGTAATCTATCGCAAATCAAATCTCGATCGCTATTTCGATCTCTGTTGGAAATTTTGATGGCGAAATCGATCAATTGACAATAAACATCGTTGTTGTTGAATTTAAACTTTATCTCGTGACATGTCAAATATTTAATTGTAATACTGATTTCAATAAATCCAACTTTTCCATCTGAATTTTCATCGTATTCTTTACTCACAATCTATACTTTTGAATTAAAATTTATCTTTCTTTTTCTCTCTAGTTTTAGCTATCATGCAAGTAAAGCTTAATCATACTTTAATCATAAAAAAACTTTGTTAACTTTATTTATTTAATTATTATGATATTTAATGTTATTATTAGCTTCAGCTGTGTCATACATTAAAATATTATTATTTATTAACATTTATATAAGCTATATAAGTCTCTGGAGAAGATTATTTAATATTTCTCAGTAAACACACTGCACGCAAGCACAAAACAAATCATATAGAAATTCTCCTCCGCTTCTAAAATCTCTTTGATTTGAAGTAAAATGAAGGAAAGCCAACACTCACGAATATACGTGATACGAGTTTAATTCAGTTTAACGCAGGAGAGTGCTTCAAGCGGTTTATGTCACGACGTAATCAAAGAAATAAAAGCAAACGAGAGGAAGAGAGGGATAGCAAAACTTGTTCGTACAACGAGATCATCGACGTCGCGTAGCCCCTGGCTAGTATAATTTTCTCAATACGGTCAGTCCTGTTTTGGTTTCCAGTCTCCCTTCTTCTCGCTTAGTCAACCGGATCTCATCAGCGAACAGAAAGAACTTCAAGGCGGCGCCCACATATTTTTTCTCAAGTTCAAGTTCGTCAAGTCTGCCCGCGTGCGGAACGCTGCCGCGAACCGCACCGCGCCGCACCGCGCCACCTTAATCGGCGCCACGCTCGTTCGTTCGAAATTATATGTAGATCGATTGATCTTTCTCTCTCGAGATACGATCACTAACAACATCACTCTGCTTTTGATTAGTTTGATTAAATCCTACTAACTAATTTAGCATGTCGAGAATATACAGAAACAAATAGGATTTTTTATAGATACTCTTTTGATTTGCTATAGATATACACTACTCGTTACGCATGTCTTTAATTGATATTTTGTTGAACCTTTTAAATGTACACACAATTGATTGCGCTTTATACATAAATTACTCCGATATGACGGCATTGTAAAAATGTTAATTTTTCACAATAAAATTCACAATAAAACTTTATACGTTATATTTATATTTATATTTTATGCCTATCGTGCTTTATTACAGATTATAGGTGTTGTATTAATTTTTATTTTCTCATGAAAAATTTAATATCGTCCAAACTTTAAAAAAAAGATGAACAAATTAAAAGAAGTTAATAGTAGAGGAATGGACATAATAAAGGAAATTAATAAAATGTTACTTTGTAAATTTATGTAAAAAAACAAGTTAAAGAAAGATAAATTTAAGAAATAATAAGGAGAAGTTATAATATATATAGCATATATTATGGACGTAAATTTTATAAAATTTTTAATGGGATTTTTAATGGAAGCCACTTTAACTCTCGCGTTAATCGAAAGAAATTGAAATGGGGAAACGAAAATCTCGATTTACTCGGCAACCGAATATAAACGTAAAATAAACCAATACAACTTGTCGAAAGTGTATCAACATTTATTCGTGTCGTGACATTAAAAGAAAGATTAAATAGGTCATTTTGATTCTCCTTTGATTTCCATCAAAATGAATCAAATAGAATTATTGCGAGAAATTCAGCAGCTTTTGTTTATCATATATTAATTATGCAAGTTATAGCTAGAGAGCTTATTTGTCAACTAGACAATGCATCTTTACGTAATCTTACATTTCACGCATCGATAATGGAGGCTAAGATCGGTAGAATCGAAGAGTAAATAACAATACAAGATAATTACTCTATCAGATGTTACACAGTTGAATTGGCGAGGATAATCGAAGAAGATAAATGTGCAGCGTTGTATTAATAAGTTAGTATATCGTTAAATTATAAGCTAATTCACACGTATGGTACACATACAACACGGTACGTGTGTGTATGTGTTAGAAACTATTATTTAATTTATGTGAAAATTGTATGTAATTATCAAATTTACAATCGATAAAATCTACAAACAACAAATATGATTATATCTCAATACCTCATTTTAAAGCAAAGTGCAAAACTACGTTACGTAATAAATATAATGATAATAGTGTCGATATTATAACTTCCAGTAAATATTCCAACTTGTTGCGCGTATTTAGATATTTAATAAAAATTAATTAAAAATAGATAAGTAAAATCAATTTTTGCAAATAAAAGCAAAGCATTTGTTATTACGCAACAAGTTATGCATTCTATTTCTTTGCATATTTTTTATCATGTGTATTTCCGTCCAATGTTCTCTCTTTTTGACAATTATATCTTTATGAATAAAAATACGGACATAATATATTTAGATAAGCTTGTAATTATTATTATAAAAACTAAATGATGTCATACATTGAGTGTCATACATTGACAGCGGAGATGATTGATTCTTAATAAATTAGAAGTTTATATATAGGTGATGTTTGAAGAACAATGCTTGCCAAAAATTCAAAGCAATTGCTTCTCTGAAGCGATTAAATAGGCACGTAGGCGTGAGTGTACATCAAATGCTCTTCAACGACCTATAATCAAATTGCAAAATGATTTTAAAGGTCTCTCCCAGGAATATAAATGAATATAGGTAATATCGCGGGTAATACCTTTATTATATGTGTATCTCCAGCGCTATACGTATACGTCAGAATGTGTGAAAAATAAGTAGCTCGGTAAAAATAAGTAGGTAAATGCGTGAAAGTAAAGTAACAATTACTAATTTATTATTATTTTACTAACGTCAAAATATATAGTACATCATAATTAATATATGGTAATATCCTTAAAATTTTTCATTACAATAAAAATTAAATTACAGGTTAAGATCAGTGTCATCGTTATTTGAGAAATATTTTTCGGGTATCAATGTCTGGACAAAGTCGTTACATATATATATAACGAAGGTAAAAATCACAAGCAATCACTAATTGTCGATCTGCAATAATGCGTTATCTGTAAATTTTTGGCGACGAATTATTAAATCTAATTATAAGAAAAATTTTAAGTGCAGGCATGCGATAATTATATAAAGTATTACGTAAAATTTGATAAGATTCGAAACTGTTGTACGTGATACAGCAGATTTCTTAAATCTATATAAAAAAAAGAATTAGCACAAAAATTTTTATTAACAGGTTATTCGACATAATAAATAAATATTTTTTAAGGTTTTATAAGTAAATTAGTAATCGTGCAGCAATCCCGCGTAATTCTTTCGATACATTTCTATTTACAAAGAAAGAGTGCAATGTCATATGACTTGATTTTACAGATTTACTGGTAAAATTTAAGATTTTTTCACAAGATTTGATGTTACACTGATAAAATCACTTATTAGATGAGTCAGGCAGCTTTTTGTGAAACATAACAGGTTTGTTTGTGACAAGGAACTTTAGTGGCGTATATATTCCCGTTTGTGCTCCCGAGACAGAAAAGGAGAGTAGTCTGACCACGCCTGGCCGTCATCGGCGACCTTGAAGAATCATCACGCGCACCCCTACCCCTTATTAATGTACGGTCGCGCAACAAAGCTCCATTGGTTGCCGACTGAACCGCGGCTGAAGAAAGAAACGGAAAAAGAAGAAATCGCGGCCTAGCGCATGTTCGTTTTCCGCTTGAGACAAGGCGACGCCCTCTTCGAAGGTGCGTTAAGAAAAGAAGCGAAAGAGAAGGTGAGGCGAAGGGTGAGGAGACGGGAAGTGGAGGTAAGGAGACTCGGATTCCTTACTCCTATATAAGACGTGGTACGTCGTATTTTGGAGTATTATCGTACTGACTGCAAGCCAGACATATACGAGCTCCAAGATGTTCAAACTGGTAAGTCAATTGAGATTTCAGCGAGATTTATCCGTTTTTCACTTTTCACGATTGTCTGTCGATTTTCTATCGAGAAGAAAATCGAATCTGCTATCTGTTTTTTCTCGCGTAATAATTTTATCACATAATAATGTCAGATATGGACATACACAGGGTGTATCACACATATGCGTTTAGTTTTTCATAACATATATCTTGCAATTTCATATCTTCGCTTGTCATGTACTTTTCGATTTATCGCTGAATCAAAATAAGTGAGCCTCTTCACGCGGAAGAGAAAACGAAAATTTATTTACACAAATTTAGAATTCCCACGTTTGCCAATTTACTCGAATACGAATGACTTTTGCTTAATTCATCGTACATATACTCGCGATTTTCGCGAAATTCATTTTCTTCATCGAGAAAGGTACGCCTCGTCGTCGCGTTATTCGCGAAAAAGAATTCTCGTTCAGGGACATTTCGTTCCAATTATTTATAAATTTATAAATTAACCCAAAGAAAAAAACGTGACGCATAAATTTAACAAAAGAGATATATTCTGAAACTCTGCAGGTCTATTAAAAGTTCACAACAAATTAAATAATAAGATATTTCTCGCGCCTAATCTCAGATTGCCTTCATTTCCCGTAAAAGGAAAAAGTGATCGTTATTTGTACCGCACAAGAGGAGTTTTCTATTATTATTATTATTATTATTATTATTATTATTATTAGCATTTGCGGTGCCGTATTACAATATCGATTGTTTACAATATCGTATAATATTACAATTCTTACTATGTTAAATGTGATAAATTGTTACAGTTGTGCTTGTTCGCCTTTTTGGCATTCGCCGCGGCTGCGCCGGCACCCGCACCCGCACCGGCACCCGGCGCGATCATCGGCGCCCCGCTTGTAACATCTTACAGCGCTCCCATCGTTTCCGCGCCGTTAGCTTACAGCGCATACAGCCTACCGACTTATAGCGCGTATTCGGCATACCCGGCCTTACCGTACGCGTATAAGAGTTATGCAGCCTACGTGGCCTAATTGTCTAAACACCAGGGAATACCAGATACCAGGCATCGGAGATTAAGGACCAATTTCCATCGACGCAAATTGATCGGTCAACGCACACTTGAAATCTTTTTCAAAAATCAACCACGGATTTGTTTATCCGCGGTTCATTCTCTTCATCCCCTTCTCATCCGTCATCGAATAATTCCGCTCTTACATTCCATTATCAAGATCCAGAATCAATAAAGACGCTTAAAAGCAATAGTACGAGTTTGTTTCTTATTCGATCACACCCCTACGATTTACTTACTAATACATTGTACGAAAAAATGCGTTTTACATTCAGAACAAGTCAAAATCCATCGATACGTCGATACGTATAATTTATTTATATCAAAGAATTTATGAATTTATATATGTATATATATACGTCTCGATGCAGATATACCAAAATTATTCAAAGGCAAAGAAAGACTATAAGCTTTTCTTTGATAAATTCTAAATAAATAAAATAAAATATTTTTCATTTAACACTTGATGCACGAAATATATTATATAGAAAAAATTACAACGGCTATTATAGAATACTTCTCTTTCAATCATACGCACGTATAGAGTCTAGAAAGTTGCATGTAGACGTAATGTTCTCAAATATACATCCACAATTTATATATATATATATATCCCAAAGGAATAATCGATGACATGCAAACGAACGCATCATTACAGACATGTATATCGCAATGTGTTATTTTGAGACATCCTTTGAGATGGAGTTGTACAAATCCGAATAATAATATACTCCGTCAAGAAGGTATTCCGTGTAAATATGTGTAGAATGGCTAATAAATATAATAATTTATATTATTAATAAATTGATCTAAACTTTCCATTCAATATTTTAAATGATGTAATTAAAATGTAGATATATAGTACATGCACATAAAAAAATGATAATTTAGTAAAAGTAAAAAATAGAACTTTAATTTGCCTATCTTTGTTGTTTGGTCCAACTATTAATTAAATATTAACTAAATATTATATTAAATATTACATTAACGCCCATTAAATTATACAATTTATATATTACAAGATTTTTACACGCACACAGTAATGTATAATATTATTTATACATTTGGCGAGCACTGGATACGTAATATCATAGGTATATTAAAATTACATAAAAGTTACATAAAAGAATACATCCCAAGATAATTTTACGTATATTATATGTATATATATAAGTTATGTATGCATATATACGCGTGGGCAGTTTTATTTTTTGCGTTTCGCTTTCTTTTACATCGGTCGAAACCGTCGAAACGTACGAATCATATATTATGGCTCTCGCGTTGGAAATAAAATTTTCCAGAGATCAATCATTTATCGCACCGATGTTTTAAATAATAATAATCGATAATTGTAAGTAAAACCAAGAAAGAACTTTAGTTCACATTATTGAATATCAGCTAATTTAATTAGCTGGTATGAAATCCGGATTTAAATAGTATATTATTAATATATAATTTTGGTGACAATTTTGCAGCAAAGTAAAGAAAAAATTATTATGTACATATTATCTGATCTCACGTAAATTAAACGATTTAGAAAAAAGATTAAGAAAACTCGATTAAATGACATTGCATAATAATAATTCTTTAATCGTTGTAAGACAAAATCACTCCTGGCGCGATATAACCTCTGTGCTTACATACTCGTTAAGGGTAATTTGTTGCAAAAAGAGCTATTATGTGTCATGTTATATTACGTTATAAATCTGATTACATAAGGATAGGACGTAACTACAACTCGAATAATCACTTCATTCACTGTTTAACGAGCGTTCTTCAGGCGACTAACTGGCATGTGCAGCGCGTAATGCTAATAATTAGGGATCGCTCGAAAATTGTGCGTTTCAGACCCGCGCCGAATTCTCGCTTCAAATCCTCTTTGATCTTTTCCATGTAATGATAAATCTAACTTAAAAAGTTAGATTTACAAGTATTATAGAAGTAGTGCTCTGATTCTAAAGCAAAAGTGGATAATTAAAATTCGTGAATAACTTTATATATATATATATATATATATATATGTATATTATATATATAACTTTAAGATATATCAATTATACGAGTAAAATATTACGCACACACACTATATAAAGATGTAGTATGTATTGTGTAAAATTTAGTTTAGATATTAAATTTAAAAAAAGCTAGGAATTTAACACTCCGGTAGGGTGCTAGAGGCTTCATTGACTATACAAAAGTCATTTATTGCATGAGATGAGAAAAACTGTGAACGATCCTGAAAGGAATGAGAGTGCACCTAATTGGCCTCATCCGTAATCTATACACCAACGGCAACAACCAAATTGTAAAAATGTAAAAATTGACATTCGATGTTCTAATGTGTTCGAAACTATACATATGCTACTCGCCACTTCCATGGAAGGTATGAAAAAGTTGCTACAAAGACTCATAATTAAAAGAGTAAAGAAGTGGAGTTCAGTGTTAATAAATGCGAAGCCAAGCTTATGATAATTAATACACCGAGTCGGCAAGCTTACAAACACCGACATCATCATATATAGACACAATGGAAAGTCTCATCTATCTGGGATCTTACCTACATCGACAAGAATGGAAATTGCGCTTCCGAAATAAAGCGAAAAATCGCCAAAGCAAAAGATGCAATGATTCGACTCATTAAAATATGGAACCGAGGAATAGAAACAAGACCAAAATTCGTCTCGTCCGAACTCTAGGATATTTCCTCTATTCCTGTGTGGAGTGGAGACGGACTATCCGTGCAAGAGAGAGACAACGAATGCACGCATGTGATGAAATGTGTTGCCGGAAATGAATGCTCCGAATATTATGGACCGCGAAACGCACAAATATATATCCATCCTCACAAAGCTCGGAATAGTGAAGCGACTGTCCACCACATATCATTGATACATAATGTCTTATTTCGGTCACATAATCAGACGAGAAGATGAAAATCCCGAACAGCTGATCGTCGTTGGCAATTAACGTCAAGGACAAACGATGTCGAGGTTGATTTTCGAGTAGATGTGCAGCGATCGAGTTAAAGTTAAAGAAAACGGGAAATCGAAGCTCCACATCGTGATGAGGATGGCGATCGATAGAAAGATTTGGGGGCGGATTGTGCGCTTCCATGTCGTATGGTTAAGTGGAGACCACGTGCTTTATTCAGTCATGAAAGTTAACTAGAGAGAGAGAGAGAGAGAGAGAGAGAGAGAGAGAGAGAGAGAGAGATTAAATTAAATTTTAAAAATTATATTACGTCGTAAGTGTAGCTCATAAAAAAAACGAACTTTCAGATTTAAATAAGCTATAGAATTAAAACAAATTACAGATTTAAGCTAGTTTTATTATAAATGTAGTCACATATGTTGGTTGTAATTTTGTTAATATGAAAAAGAGAACATAAATGTTTATGCCAATTTGAGATCTCTAAGACTTTTGTTACGTACGTGTTAATATACATATGTATAATACTAAAATCAATGTCACATGCATTGGTAGGGAGATATGCTGAGCGTTACGTAACAGAGAAAAATGTTTTAATAACTGTCTTTTACAATAAAGCAACGACCCGAGTATCCAATTAACGACAAAGATGTTTCGTTATTGCAACTTGGCAGCCATGCAGAAAAAAAATTTGATGGCGACGAAATTTATTCGAAAACGACAGCGCAAACATAAAAATGTTTCACTTTTGTCAAAAGTGTAGTATTACGTAATAGCACTAAAATTTTATGAATTATTTTAAAACACGTAATTTACGTATGTTTATTATTCTTATGAATTATAAGAATGATAAACTTAAATATATGTTGAATATATGAATCTATTTATATATTTGCGTTATTATATTATATATTTACATAAGCTGTTGCTTTAATTAATTCAAAAGCATAATGCATATTATGCATAATTGTTTAGGTAACACATGCTATTCTTGGAACATACATAAACACCCTTTATATAATTTCATGTCATCGCTATTGAAAGCTCTTGAATCAAATAGATTCAAGGTATAACAATACCTTTATGCTTTATCACATTATTACGTCGATAAAACGTAATAATCACAAGACAAATTTAACTGTTTATCAATCGTAAAATGAGTTTTAGATATATCCATGCAATAATTTGTTTTAAATTTTCAGCGTACTGTAACAATTTAAGCGTAAATTATCATTATAAATATGTATATCGACAAATATGTCTTTTGAGATTACTCTCATATATGAGTAAAATAAAGACATTGTGAAAAAAAAGATAAAAATGCCGTGAAACTTTGTACCAGTCATAGACGTTATTTTTTATATTTAATAATGTACAATAATAATTTTTTAAATAACATATAATACTTTAGGCTTGTAATTATAAGTTTATTATTGAAAAATTTCTAAATTGCAAATTCCTCAAATTGCAAAAAAATTCTTGTAATAACAATTATTATTAACAGATAATAGATCTATTTAAATTTCTGCGTTTTTCGTAGCCTTACGTATGTAGTTTTACTGCGTGTACACTATAAGATTATCTGTATTATATCATAATCAAAGATACATTCTTTGACTTGCTATCAAGTTGATATTAATTAATTAATGGCAGAAAGGAGAATAGCTGGAGTTAATCGCTGTTTTTTGGAAGAGCCAGCAAAAGAATGGCTAAGAAAGAAAGTGAGCTTTGTAAACAGTCGAGCTTTGTGCCGTAAGCCGTAAAGCCTATTTACACATTTGCAAGTGGCATTGTTATGCAGCGTTGTGTAATCAGTCGAGTTTTTGTCATTACGCCCTATACGCAGTTATGCAAGTCACCGACAATAATATTGGTCTTTGTTACGTGAGTGCCAGCAGACGTCATCGTCAGTCTACAGTCACATATGCCGCATAGTGATAATAGATTTGTCAGAGATATGAGATGAGTAATCGCGATTGTACCATTTACAATATGTAATCGACAGAACGTTGTTCTATTTTGCCGGTCATTCCCTATTTCGCACGAATAGAAAAAAGACAGACACACGCAGAGAGAGAGAGAGAGATTTGAAAAAAAAATTTTTAGTCTACTGTAACATTATTTTCAAATTTTCACAAATAATATTAAATTATTAGAAAGTTTTTACAAGCAAAAAAGTTTCTATACAAAATGAAGTCTCTTTCTGTAAGAAAGAACCCTCTATTATGCCATGTATTTGGTTATCCGAAAAGTTCTGCGGGGACAGGTTCAAGTGGTACTGTCATATTCAATACTTTTTGCAATTTTTAATTTCTTTGCCAGTTCTTGTACTGTTTAACGAGGATTTTCGGCGATAGTGAATGCTCCAATAAATCATCATTCATAGTGCAGGGACGTCTAGATCGCGCGTTTCGTCTTTGAAATTACTTTGTTGAAATTTCACAAACAACTTTCCAACTGTATCATCAGAAACAATCTCTTGTTCGTAAACTTTACAAATTTTACACGCTGTCTCGCATGCGTCCTTGTTCTTTCTGAAGTAGAAAAGGCATAATATTGCAAAAATGTTTCTGCTTCTCCATCTTTAGGGCACTATAGAATCGAATATACTGAACATATGCCATTATCGATGGATACATTGTTTAAACAAAAGACTGTACTCTTTCATATCAACCTGAAGTTTGGCCGGGTTTCCTCATTAAGTATTAACGCAAAATTTAAATTGGTATCTGGTGTTAATAAAATATAAATAAAACCATTTTCGAACTTAAGTGTACTTATTTATCTAAGTCAATTTAATTTAAAAAAAATAAAAGTTTAGTTATTAACAGATTTTAAAATCACGTTTTTCATAAATAAGAAATTAATTATACATATAGTTGCTATATTATTTTTAGTTAGGTTAATATATAGCATTTGATTAAAACAATATTTTAGCTAATGCGAATAAATGCAACATCGAAATTTAATTCAAAAACTTCCTTTTTGTCGTAATAATCTTTTACCTCTTACTAGAGAACAACGCCGAGCGTTTAGACGTCAAATATGATTGATTGTCAAATGTCTATGGGTGGCGTAATTTCAGTGTTGTTATTAAATAAAAATTAATATTTTAAAATTTTTTGCCACATTTAGTTAGATGAAATATGAGATGGCTCTTTCAAAACATGACTCTTTTATATCCACTCTCTCTTATTATTAACAGAGCTGATAATAGTGGACGAACGTATTTTATCGTGTTATCGATTCCATATAAAGGCGATGGCTGTAGGAGCAGAAAATGTCGATTTGTCATGGTTTATATATATCGCTCCACACGTTTCTATCCACGTGAATTAAATTTATTCAATAAAACTGGCTGATGTTTCAGAATTGTTGTTCCAGTTAACCGTCAGAATAATCATCAGAACCAATTTCTCGTGATTATTCTTTTGACAAAGCTAGTGTTTTTCATTTAGAAATCAAATGACTGCAGATTGAACACTGCACGTATCGATTTTCATAAGTACATTCTATCGTATAATAGTATATCCATTCCTTGACATCGATCGATAGTTTAATGACCGCAGTATAATTAGTTTTCAAGATACTAATATTCTATACTAAAACGAAAGAGAGCAAAAGGGAATGCAAAGAGAGACCAGGGGGAGGAAGAAGAATGAAAAAGGAGAGGAGAGAGAGAGAGAGAGAGAGAGAGAGAGAGAGAGAGAGAGAGAGAGAGAGAGAATTAGGGGAAGAAGAAATAAGAAGGATGCAACCATTTTCAAAGTATCACATTAAAATCATAATTTTAGATATCGGTTACGGAATCATCATTATTTGACGACTATGATTGTTTCCAGTGTATAATCGGAATCCTGCGATGGAATATTAAAAACTCTACTACCATATATAGCTTATTTATAATAAATAATTGTTAATATTACCAAAAGAGTATTTAACAATTTACAAGATACACGGCAAAAAGAGAGAGGGAATTTATATTTTTAATAATAAACTAATACAATATACAATCAAATATAATCAATAGAGCAAATGTTGAATATCATTATATGCTCCCTTTGATGCCTTTAAATGCATATATAATATCTGAACTTGCAAAATAAAAGATTGTTTTCAAGGAAAGGATATTTAAATTAATTAAACAGAAAAACATCATATACATGTGTATATTTCTTTGTAATATGAACCTAAAATAATCTAAAATCAAATGCGCAACGTGTTATATTTTTTAAGATTTAGATAATTTTTACAGTAATTAATAAGCTGAGAAATGTATTCGCGAAAAAACAGACATACTTCGATTATATGAATCACGTGTTTAACGCTACTGTGCTCTTTTGCTGAAATTGTCAATGCAGATGCTTTGATTTGAAGGCTAAACTTCCGTCGTAGCAATATTTCCTTTTCATTATATCACTGCATGTACTTATTGTTAGTTCTACATTGCGCAGCTTCCTACAACGGCTACAACCCCCTCGACATCCTCGGCAGCACACGCATTTTCACGTGGACGGCGCGGTGCGTCTGGCGGCGCGGCGGCGGGGCATGCGCGTGTTCCTGCGTTCACCTGCGAGGGTATAAAAGATCGCGTGTCGAGCGCATCGGGCTCAGTTTAATCTCGTGGGCAAGACGACCTAATCATCTTGGCGAGGAAAAGAAGCTGTGATCGAGCTATCGATCGAATAAAAAAGATAAATACAGCCAAGTTGTAAATATCGGTCTAAAGTTAACCGAAAATATCGAGTAACGAGTGTCTCTCTGTGTATGACAGTCTATCGATCAATCTCGACTTCAAGATTCATTCCCACGATCCCGCGCGCAGTGGTACGCGCGTATAAAACGTGAATTGATCCACAAAATTCACAGACGACAAATCCACACGCAGGTGGTATCTGTCATTGGTGGTGTCTATACCTTTCTTCGGACATATCTATATTGTTTCATGTAAGAGCGTATAGTCTCAAGTGTCAACTCACGAGTCAAATATCAAATGACATGGAGTCCGCGCAACTGACTGATGATTTGAACGATCACCTACAGCACCATCATCGATATCACTATCATCATCATCATCACCATCGAGGTAGAACGCCCGTGAGTGAGATCGGTGACGACGAATGCAGCACCGACAGCGGCTGCAGCAGCGGTGGCAGTACCGGAAGCGGCAAACGTCTGTCGCGGCGGGGTAGCATCAGTGAACGATTGTGCAGATCCAGCAGGTCTCCGAGAATACATTGCTACCCAGAGCGGCTGCGAGGACGACCGACGCGGTCGCAGGAGCGGCTTAGCACTAGCGTGCAGAGATCGTCGGAACGCACTTGGAGCCCTCCCGAGGACATCAGGAGTTTACATCGTGCAGGTGGTGTCTCGCCCTCGTCGTACTCTTCCAGTCCCTCAGATGCGCACAGCAGTAGCGATAGCGATTCCCTCAAAAGACCCTCCACCGCGGAAACTTTACGACGGGCTTTTCAAAGTCTGAAGATCACCTCATCCAAGTGGGATAGCAACAAGGAGAAGAAGCACGCGAAGAAGAGCCCGAAGAGGATTTTGCGTAGTCCAGTACCTTATATATATGTGCGAGGACCGTCCGGTCTACCCACTCAAAGGATTCCTCGAAATTCCAGCTTTCAGCAGCAAACCGCGATACAGCCCTGCTCCTACCAGGATCTGTGATTGATCTGCGTCAATAGATATCGACACATAGATGGACAAATTTGTAGAAAATATCATGAGTTCCATAAATATTGCAACGCAAGACCATCAAGATACTCGGTCAGAAGAAATTAAAAAATTAAGTTAATGAAATAAAACGCGCGATTGAACGTTGCTTTTTGATCATCGTGCTTGCAATAACATATCTTGTCCTCGTCACGACAATTATATATATTACCTTTACTAAAACAATGAATTCGTGAATTCGCCCGCAGGACTCAGAAAAAGATATCCGTAATTTCTAAGCTCCTTCTCTAATTCCTTCTTTATTCTTTTTCTCACTCGTCGTTTGTTCGACCACGCAATTAATTTCATGATGCGATTTACACGACCACCGCGAAACTTTTCGAGACAAGTTTTTCTCTTTCAAGTAGTATAAGTCAAGTGTAACGCCGACTTAACATGAATTTGTTCGAATCAGCGAGAAAAGAAAAAAAAACGCTAAGAAAAGCAAAAGAAAGACAATGAATGTAAAAAGAGATTATAAAGTTAAATTAAATATACGATTGTATTGGCTGCAGATGATCCTCGATACCAGAAGCAGAACTTATTTGCGTATTATCAATTTACGAAGAAGTAAACAAAAAAAAAGAATATATACTCGATCTCGATCGTTGATTATTTTCTGACTTACTAGTTCTGAATTAGAATATCAAGAAAATAAGATAAACTTTCATGTATTTAGAATAGTCCGCGCGACAATTTCTATAATACTTGCTTACTCTTTTGCAATATTTTTTTTACTACAAAACTTTACCGTATTAATCGCCGTAGACTATTTATTAAAGCCAAAATACTTATGTTACGATATATGCACACATATAAAACTATATAGTCACTTAACTCAATTAGACATTTTTCTCTAGTCTGACTAATGTTCTCTATTATTTAGCGCATGCAAGATGTTTAGGATGTACGAGCGTGCAGACTGATAGGTTTAATGTATATTAATTTATACTGTCATCATTTATCTGTATAAAGTTATGCAAAGTTTTATTAACCACATGTCATTATTACCTTTATTATAATTTTCATTAGTACCAATTTAATGGAAATGACTCTTTAATAAAAAACCGAGAAACTATGATATAATAATAATAATATCGCAAAAAGATATTAATCTATATGATACGTTGATAAAGCGACTTTCAAATACATTTAAATGAGTCTCTAAGATTTCAAAATCATGTGGCCAGGATTACGAACGTATCTAAAAGAAAAAAATCGAGTAAATGATATATGAATTATTTTTGATTTGTATTTCCCATTTCTTCATTCATCATCGTCACTCACGATGGTGAGTGATACTCGTACCTTTATTGGCATTAAGAGCCGCAATTTGTTAATCACGCGATAAGAGTTAATTATATCGGCGCATAAATTAGCATGTCTACAAACTATATCAGCTCCAAAATAAGGACATTGCCCTTAATAATTCATAAGAATTGTAGATTTTATTCTGAATAAGATAAGCAAGTCACTCGCGTAAAAATATTGTTTATACAGCGAACCATTTCAGTTGCGTAAAAAAATTTTTTATTAACATAATATACAAAAACCAAGAATCAAGAATTACGTAAAAAATATATAAATATATTATAAGGATTGGCATCAACAGATATCCTTGAAAATGATGAAGCGATACATATCACTACTGTGTACTGTGATATACTGTTTTTGAAACATTCGTAGCTAGCAAGATATTAACGAGCTAAGTGAGCTTATGTGAGCCACAATTAAAGGAAACGAGGTTTAATTTTTTAAGCAAATCCAATATTTATTAAATATGTTTAAAAAATGCTTATTTGTCAAATAATTATATTTTTGTTTTTTAAATTATTATATATTAATTCTGTGCACATTATCAAAATATTTTAAATAATTATATATTAATATCATGCATTTAGAATTTATTATTTTAATTATTTCAATTTCGATTCTATTATTAATTAAAAATCTAAGTCTCCGGATCTACTTCCTTTTAAATCTGTCGAAAGTTTACATCAAAGTTACAATGTGTGAAACAAGCAGCTTGTTGATATCAGAGTTACGATTGTTTCTTCCCGCGATAATCATTACATAAACGCGATAAAAAGCTAAGCAGGTTAATTGGCAGTATGTAATCGCGTGAAATATTATTATTATTTATTTAAAAAATGTACAATATGTGTACGTTAAGTAAATTCACAACTTGCAAAGACTGACTAATCTAAAAAAAAGTCGAAAAATATGTACAATATGAAGAAGAACTAAACAGTGCTTAGCAAAAATTCGTAATTTATAAAAGAAAAAAAGAGATTACACACACACACACACACACACAGATCTTAAGAGTCTACAAACTCATCTATAAAAATTGTCTGTGCGGTTCATCTCTAGTGCCTTGTAGATATTCCCAAAAGCGTGTCTGTACAATTAGATGTCATCGATAGGCAAAAGTGTGAGAGAATCGACAGGAACAAAATTATATTCGCCACAGTTGCGGAACATCATTAAGTGATATATGTTCGTAAATATGATGGTATTATCGTCATGTTATAACAAGAAAGTGTTGCAACAAGAAAGCTAGGATAATATCCTCAGGACTGAATGTTTTGTAATGTTTAGTCTATGTCAATATTTACGTTACAAATAAACGTTTTTCATTCTAAAATCTTATTTCCTTTCTTTTACCTAATCGTAAATATCCTATCTATTAAAAATGCACGAATAATTACATTATTAGAATTAAATGAGCAAAATGTTATAGATACAGTATAGTTGAAATAATCAATTTTATACTGAGTAAATCGCACACAATTTTTATTTTACTTGAGAAACAATAATTTTATTTTATTTTAAAAACAGTACTTAAGATAATATATTTTCATTACGTTATTTATATTATCTTGTATAAATAACGTAAAGGAATTTTCGAAGCAAAGGTGTGCTTCGTAAAATTCAAGAAAATATATCTATTATTAATATATGAACATTTATTTTGTACGATTTTAATAGATCATTTTAATTAAATTGTTAAGCGACCGATTTTTTATTCGTATTCTAGATAAAAGATTATTCTATGGTCAGGTATAATGTACATATACATACGTTAAGTGGAAAGTGTGGTCTATCGAAGCTGCACGTTTGATCAAAGGGAATTAATTCTAAAATTTGCGAAATATATAAAGTCGAATCAAAGTTGAGAATAACAATAAACGAATCCTCTGATACTCGTATCAAATCGAATACGAATTACAGTGCAGTGTCGCGCATTCGTGAAATAAGATGCTTAAGTATTCGCATCAAGATATTTGTTCGCGCTCGTTTCTTTATTCTGTATTGGGCTTAACTCTAATCTACATACATATGTATAACATACTACATTTATTGAGCGACGGATCTTCCGTGGAAGAAAGAAAGAGCTAGACGCGCGTTGCAGTCATGGTATATATATATATATATATATATATATATATATATATATAGTGTGTGTGTTTTAAATGTTTTTATCTATGGCCATGACAGAACGTACTAAAGCCTGACCTAGTTGCAGGAGCTTGCACCTCTGGGTGACGTCAGGATGCGCAGGAGCCCCATTCACGAGTCTCATCAGACAAAGTAGATCGGTAGGTCCACCTCCGTAAAATGTCATAGTTCATTCAATGATTTGCTATATAACTTCTCTTCCTCTCGTTCATTCCTTGTCTTTCGCATCATTGTGTGTCTGTGCCTTTTCTCTTTGCCATTTATGAAAATAGCTCTTTTCCATTATTTCCACATCACTTTTGAATTATTCCGATTCTTTTTTTTATTTCAAGTTAACACAAATTAATTAAAGGACTAATCCCTCGCGTTAAATTTTACTTAAATAACTTTACTACTTCTATCTACGTACATATATAATGTAGGTATATAATTGCTACATCTTGTAGATATAATCTTGTAATGTCTACATATAACGTGTTTCCTTTTATCGAATTTAAAATAAGTTCCATATACTTTATTTATTATAATTAAGGGGATTATAATAATGTCTACTCTAATGTCCTTTCCTCTATCATCTCATGAAGATTACAGGACTGGCAGCTGTTTAATTAAGTTAACAATGGCAGGATTATTATTAGCAAATGTTATCGTCGTCAAACTCAAACATTATCTATAACAATATTTTTTCTTGTAGAGAAAATACTAACATATCGAGAGCAATAATAACTTTCACGCGGTAAATCCAAGCTGTGCAAATTAAACTATGGAAAATCCGTAATTAAACTATGGATATTCCGTATTTGTGGAAATCTTCTACGATCCTGCTGCAGAATTGACGAGTACACTTTATTGGTTTCGCATCAGGATCAGCTGGAACAATTCCGTTCGCGCTGAAATATACCTATATGTATATAGATCGGTCACATGAAACGCGAATAGTTTTCTCTCTATAGAGATAGATGCAGCTTGGACTGTCCGACTGTCGATTCTTCATTTCCTCTTCCCCCTATATGCAATGTCTTTGGCCTAGTTTTCTCATGACGGCATAGTGACGTCATTCACGTCATTGAGAAGACCATTGACGCGTCCCAGTTGCCGTCGCGGCAATTCCGTCACGGAATGCGGAACGAACTCGATCGTTCGTAAGCAGAGCTTAATTCTTAGACTCTTATCGCGCGCGACGGTCAATGTTGTATCACACTCTTCATACATGCGTCAAATAGCCGTGCGTGTGCCACACGTCGCAATGTCCTATCATCGCGCTCTCCATTCCGCGCGAACGGTCGCAATTAGTGAGTGTTACGCAAAATCATGAGCCTCAAACGGCAGATCATGACCACTTTCGAACTCCAACATATAATATATTATTAAATATCTAGGAAAATTCCAAAGATAACTCTTAAATTTTTATAATAAACGTATATTTATCCGAAAAGATAATTATTCATAGAATGTGAAACATTGATTAATTTTGAACTTGGTATAATGGAATCATATAATAATGAAACTTAAATTTGTCGAATTGGGAATATTGCTAAGATATAAGACAATTTACTGTACGAGAAAAGTAAATATTAGCTTGACATTAAAAAAATAATAGATATTATTATATATATTATTTTTAGTAGCAAAAATTACATATTTTCAAAATCGTTACCACTTTTTCAAATTTTTCAATCTAATTTTCTCAAAAAACAAGGTCGCGTACTAAAAATAAATTATTTTTTGTAGATTTGTTCCAATGGTAAGGTATACGTGCTTTGCTTCGCTTCGATGCCGTGTTTTGTATTTATACTTAATTAATAAATACAATTAAACGCGAGTTTAAGTTACATCTATATAATGCATTGTACGAGTTGATGCATATAGGGGTACGCTTTGTCGACGTCACGACAAGGACATCAAGCTCAAGTCAAATCGATGATATCGAGAACAATGGAGAGAGAAGCAGATCCGCCTGTACCGCTGCCGGCTGTGCACCGCCACGCCGCATCGCGCATCCCTCATTCACCCCGCATCCGTGCCCAGCTAGCCAATCAGTCGCGTCTGGTCGGTCGTGGTCGGAAGAAACGCTGTACTGGTTGAAACTGGGGGTTCGTCGACCTTCCTGTTCCATCCTGATGATGACGTGATCGTTGCGTCACGTCGTCATAGCGACGAGCCAAGTCCTCTCTCGACCACGCACGCTCGACGAGAACTGGAACTTTGACCTGCAATCGGGTCGCGACAGACGAATGACACTGAATGACCCTATGGCATCCCTTCTCTTCCGCTCGCTCCTCTATCCGTCTTGCAGAAGCCTCCTTTTTTTGCATTTTATCGTATTTTGAATGTAGCCAAAAGTTCTGGATATTCAAATCAAATTACTATATATCAGATCTATAGGTATATGAACATTCAAATATTCATGTACCGCGATTGCACATGTATGATAAATGATAACGTAAAAAATCTGTATTGCGTTAATTTTCTGGCAAAATGTCATGCGTCCCTTTTTACTCTTTAAATGTTGTTAAACTACTCTTATTTGAT